TGATTACTATAACTGAATAATAAGATAGTACTATAACTGAATAATAAGATAGTACCATAACTGAATAATGAGATAGTACTATAACTGAATAATAAGATAGTACTATAACTAAAAGATCTAAAACCGACCGTTCGGTCGGACCGATCAAAATTACTGTAACGAGAATCCAATGATTTTTCGCTTAGGTTTCACGATGTACACCACCTGTGTAATCTGGCTGGCGTTCGTGCCCCTCTATTTCGGCACCGGCAGCAACGTAGCACTCCGGATCACCTCGATGTCGGTGACTATCAGCCTCTCCGCGTCCGTGACTATAGCGTGTTTGTTCAGTCCGAAGGTAATTAGATGCGATTCAATCCGCGTGATACCGTAGCTCTCCGTAAAACGATCCGAGAGCTTTTTCTTATTTGTTCGGACAGTTATACATCATTCTGATCCGGCCCGAGAGGAACGTTCGCCAGAGCATGATGCCGGCGAGATACAGCACGACCAAAAGCTCCGCGGTGACGGCGACGAATGCCTCGAGCATGATAGCGCCCGTCACGTTGACAGCTGCCACCTGCGATCAGAACAAAGCTGTCAAGAAGCACATTATCAGCACCATCGATTGCTGGACGCAGAGCGAGTGTGAGTGACTATCAGCACGAACATTTCCTCCGACGCGACTGTACCGTTGTTCTCATGGTTCCCGCATCGTTTCGTGTCAACCAAACACTTCGTTTTCTTTGTTCCTCTGTGTCCTTCGCGTTCTCGTGGACTTTGGCAGATCCTCCTCAGTTTTTCAGATTTTTGTCTGCATTCGTTGAATTCGCCGTCTGTTGTCCGTGGTCTGTCCGTCCTTATGTGTTCATAGTAATCGTGTCTTTATTAAAGACAGGGGATTTTTACTTGGTAAATCGAATTTATTTGAAATTCAATTTCATTTTAAATTTATTTATTTAAAATAATTATTAGAACTGTTTCGAATAAATATTTATTTAAAGTAATTATACAAATTGTTTTGAATAAATATTTATTTAAAATAATTATTCGTATCGTTTCGAATAAATATTTATTCAAAATAATTATTCGAATTGTTTCGAATAAATATTTATTCAAAATAATTATTCGAACGCATTCTCTTCAGTCGAATATTTTATTCGAATAACGATTATTTATTATTCGCAACAAATCGTTCAATCTATAACTTTTTATTCCAATAAATTATTCGAAGAAAGATTTAAAAAATTCGAAAAGTTAGAAAGTTTTCAAGAATTCGATGAATTAGAAATTTTGTTTACAAAAGATCTGAGATAGAATTTAGAGAAATCCTGATTCGACTATTGTCTCTAAAAATTGGTCTCGACAACAGCTATTAATCCATAACAACTGCATTATCCAACACTACTTTACAGAAACATTTCAAAGACAATCGATATAATCGATGTCTAACGTCACAAAATCCAAACATGCAAATTTTAAAATCAAAAAATAATTGCCTCGGCGAAAAATTATTATACGAAAGACGTGATCGTGCGCGACCCCAGATTACCACCTCGGTATTAAAAGTTATTTCAAGTTGCCTGATCTTATTAAAAAGTCGCCGAGAGAAAAGAATTACGCTTTAATATCTCCTAATCCGACGGTACCGTAAACATCCTGGCTGCACTAATTATATTTCCCGGCATTAAAGCTTCGAAATCCGGGTGATTCGGTGACGAATAAAATAATAGGAAAATAACATAATTACAACAATATATACATATATACAAACACGCGACAATCGCGTGTTTCCTCGCCGAAAACAGCGAAACGCGGGAAATCGCGGCGTTTTTGTAGCGAAGCCGGTTGAAATATCTCCGCGGCCGCGACTCTGTGGTTCTTGACAAAATATAAAATTCACATTTATATACAATAAAGAGAGCGCGCGCCCGCGCGCACGCGCGTCGCGGTTTAACGCGACTAACGAGCTCCACGAAGAAAACGCGGCCGCTCTCAGCCCCGCGCGCGCTTTTCCCAGCCGTTTTCCCAGCCAGCCTGTTCCGTGCTCCCCTCTTTATGCAGCTTGCAACCGAAGTTTTTAATTAAGCGGTTCGACAAAAAAGAACCGACTTTTGCACAGCTGATACACACACACGCACGTACAAGATCGCCCACGGCGGAACATCTGCGTGAAACAGCTTCCTCCGGCGCTGATGCTGCCGGAAAACTTTTTTGCAACAACAGTAGGTGTACGAATTAATTTCCTCCCTCCCCGCCCCCTCCCCAGATTTGTGAATTGCAACGTTGTTGCGAAGACAAGTAATCTGTTTGCTGTATTGACTTTAACAACGACGGCGGAATTTGGAGCTCTGCGTTAATAACATTGTCAATTAATTGTCTACGTTCACAGTTTTGCTAATTAATGGACGATTTTCTGCAGATTTTTATATGTTAAACTTGGATCGAGAAGGCACTTTTCTACAACATTTTATGAGAACTCTTTCGAAGATACTGTCAACTTTTCAAATTTAAGAATTTCGTCTGTTTTGTGATTCTGTAGACTCCTTCAAACACAATGGCAAATAAACATTTGAATATAAATATAAATATACATAATAATAATAAAATATATATAAATATAAAGCTTACAAACATTTGAATACGTTTCATCAGTATCTAAAGAGAACGATACACGTACTTTCGTTGCATTGCAACATTTGTGAACACTTTTTAATTCATCTGACAAATTAAAGGTAGTACAGCGTCACGTGAACAAATGAACAAAATAAAAGCCACAATTGTTATTAGAAAAATCTGAGAACATTATTACATCGTGTCCGACTTCTTAAGTTCGTTAAAAGAACAATTATGTTTCCATTTGTCTCGTCAATCTTAAATTCGCCTAACACCTTCACGATTCTTTGTTTATTCTTTATCGTTGCATAATATACAAAATCAAGAATGTAGATAGAATGTAAAAAGTCTATCAATCGTGCTCCAACGAAGCGTCTTACCCAAGAAGTCTACATCGTTCTTTCGCGATCATTTTAATCATCGTTCGAGGGACAAACATCGAGTCGTCTCTCCAAGTAACCACTTTGTTCATCCCCCGTAAAAAAGAAGCCACCTTCGTTCGCTTGTTCGTTCAACAACGTGAAAACATGCTGGCCAGTATAATCAGAGCGACGTTGCAATCTCGTAGAAAAGCGACGATTGTTGCCTTTCGATTACGCGAACATTTTTGCCCGCAGATTACGAGCTGGAGGTGAAGGACCAGAAGAATGGGAAACCAACGCCCACGGTGGTCTCGCGATTAACGCAGACCTCGAGCAACGATCTCGAACAAAGCGGTAACTTGGTCGGCAAGGACGCGAAGGAGAATCCCACAACGACGAGCAAGGAGAACGCGAGCACAACGAAGCAATTAAACAATAACGCGAGGATAGGAAACGGGCCTGTGAACCAAGCCGACGTCTCGTTATAGCAGCAACCCTCCCCGGAGTCCGCCATCTTGACCGTGAACCTGAAACCAATCTCGAAGAAGCCCGTAGTTGTTTAAAACCGTACGTTTTTTGTAAATACGACTGAACACTGTACATCGAGACGGCGATACGACAGAATAAAAAAAAAAAGAAAAACGGGTGTTCCCGATTCCTCTGCGAAGCAAGCGCGCGTTGTTTTAACTTTACCGGAAGTGTGCGAATTATTAGACTCGGAGTTACGCGAATTTATTCGAGAACGGTTCTTGGAAAGTTACGGCCTGCTTGCGATATCATTTGCTACGACGCGACTGGTTCGAACTCGAGCACGGTTGCAGGAATTCGCCTAATGCCGGACGCCTAGCATTTTATTCAACGAATTGTCGCAGGTTTTTAAGCAATTGTTGAATTTACGAGTTTGCGAAAGACCGGAGAACGTGTGCGTTTGCCAATAGTAATAACATTTTTCTTGCAATTCTATATCACATTTTTCATTCATTAAAATCACTTTTTAGAGTGAGAATTCTCATAGAAAAGAGTATAATTGGCAAACGTTGATAAAAGGAAACGTGCACAATGTTACACAATTTTCAATGGAGTCCCGTGTGTCCTGTGCTAGGAAAAATCCTGCCTACCATGCACATACATTTATGGTGTTCAAATGCAATAAACGTTTTTTGAAAATTGTGATTGATAACAATCGTAATGCGTGGAATGGAAATAGACGCTCGAACGCATGATATGTTAACACTTACAGCTCGTGAAGACGACTTTTTTTACGAGAACGGAGGACAATAGTTTCTGATTTGTGAACCGATGTCCAGATTACACTGTCGTTCGATAAACGTGTACTTTCTTCGGGAGCACGAGCGAAGGAATTGTATTCAGTCTAATGATTTGCACGCCTCTTACGTTACCGTGTGTCATGTGTATTATAAAATGTATTAGTTACGTTAATTAAGGTGAAATTACAACGTGAATCTTCGTACTTCCTGTATTAATTAGCCTGCAGGTGTTCATGCGAATTCAGAGTGTTCCAAGCCAGTTTGCAAGATCATCGACCGAGTTCATTTTGTATCCTGAGAGGATTTATTGAGCTATTAAACTCTTATTTTTAACATATCATTGTGTGTTACAACCGTGGAGAAAGAAAACTGCGAACTGAAAGCCAGATTGGCGCTATGTTAGTCGGACGAAAGACCACTATAGCGAATGCTGCTACAGTATCAGAAATTAAATACGCCTGGTTCTCTATTTTTAAAGCGCGTTCTCACCGCGTCACTAATTTTTACATAGTTCATTTAGAATGTTTTCTTTGACACGAGTAATTTATTTCTGCGTGACAGAAATTAAATAACCACATTAAATAACCATTTAATGTCACGCGTTTATCTCGCGCATGATTTATTTTTAAATCGTCTGTACAAGAGAATCGCCCAGAGAGTGCATTGTACTATTTTTATCTGTATTCAGATGAACAACAAAGAATGTCTTCGTCCACACGTGTTTTCGGTTTTCAGAACGTTCGCAGTATATTTTCCGTCATCTTGAAAGAGATCCAGGTGAATCGTTCAATTCATTCTAGACGAAACGATTACAAATGTCCTCGTCGTTGCCGTTGAAACGGATTCCTTTGCCATTTAGCCGAACAACCAAATTGCCGATCATACTAGGAAGGTTCGCGACTAAATCCCGTTCGAAACCAATAAACGCACGAGACCATAATGGCGCGAAGTACCGGAAGACACGCACCGTTCGCCAATGATGACGCCTAACCATCGACTTTAATTAATTATTAACTCGCATGTTAAGAACTGCTCTGGTTTCCTCTGTGATCATAGCATAATACGTGGGTTTTAATCACGTGGATTGCGTATAAATCTCTTTTGTACATACACCGGCCATTTTCACGGTGCACGTTAACGCGACACGCTAATTCATAGACGACACGTGACGAAATGTAAATATAATAGTCGGAATGGTTGTGCTGTGAGCGATGAACGAAAGGCGAAATCGAACAGGAACATTGAAAGTTAGCCAGATCGTTGCCAAATGCGAATAATTGCGCCGAATGACGAAGGAAACAAACGAAAGAATCAAAATCAGTCGATTCACCGATATCTGTAATTTTTGTAAAAAAAAAAGAAAGAGAGAAAGAAAGAAAGAAAGAAAGAAAGAAAGACAAAAACCGAAAAAGAGATGAGCCTGAGAAACGATAGTCCTATTTAACGAGATTTATTTCCTGTACATAAAATGAACTATTCTCTGTAAATATATAATACGAGATCTTTAGTGACGTAAGGACCCCTCAAGAGGAAAGTTAAAAAAATAACACATACGTACGCGATGCTGACGAAGCTCGTTTTTAAACGATTTCGAGGTGTGACTACACGATCGTAGAAGACTATTTAGGGGATCTTTTTCCTTCTTTTCGACTCCTCTCTGCAGACTATAGGAATTGCTAAACGTAGACACTTTAAATGAGGCGCGACGTACCGTTCGTTCCGAATGTTTTCTCCTCGTAAACTATAATCGCTCTAATTTTAATAGTTGAAATTTGTATGAAACGAAATTCGGCGAAAGGACGACATTGTTCCGATAGCGTCTGTTGTACATATAGGTGTCCGAACAACTGTAAATTCTTACGTAGAGTCGTTACTATAAGCACAAACGATACACATATCCCATTCTATCCTATGCGTAGACACTGCGATGTTTCATTTGTAGCGATAGCCGCTCGAAAATGTGCAATATCGTCGAAATAATTTATCCATAGCGAAACACGTAGCGCCGTTGCAACTACGCAGGATAATTCTGAAGCGAGACGTTACAAAATATTTATACGTGTTTGATATAACAACAGAAATTTTTGTAAAAGATTTTAGTAAAAATTGTAAGGGTTATAGCAAGCGTCCAACTGGACAGCTTTTACGTGACATTATTTTAAGTATTTGTTAATAACTCCTGCAATGTTTATAATCTAATGTCTTGTAAAAATTCATGGCATTGCCTCGAGCATAGAGAAGTATGCGTGCAAAATGTTGTCTAAATAGGTTCAATCGTTTTCTTCAAATTAATTTCGAAATACAGCCCTAAACAGGCACCTAATATCGATTATAACTCGATGACCTGGAATCATCCTGCGTACCAACGAGTAGAAACTTTTTATTTTGTCGAAAGACGTGTAGAGATCCCGCCAGACTTTGGGTACAATGAGCCCAGTATCCATCGTTTGGTGTTTCAAAGATTGAGTTTTTCGTTGAACTTTTAATTGGCACCTTGAACGGCTAAATGTAAAGCTTAGGTATTAAGCGTTTAAGAGATCGACGGCCACTAATTTGATTTTCCGCGTCGATGACACCGGCCTGTCAGAGCAACGCAAATCTAATTAACCGTTTTCAAACGATAACTCCTTTAAGTCCGGTTGTTGTAAATATTATTTAAGGGTACGATTGTACATATTATCATCCGCGTGATATAAAGCGAGACACGAAACGAAAACAAAGAAGTTAGTTCATACGGAACCAATTTATAGACGTAACGTTCGGCGAGGTGTTAAGACGGCGAAAGGGGCAACCAGCGCGTCGATAAATTATTTAAATGAATCAAATGATGCAATGCAATGACAATGTCAAGAACTTTATGAGAAATAACAAACACGTTCAAAACTGTTACGGTCTAAGCATATTTTAAATACGTACCAGCGCTAAGGTAGGAACACAAGTATAAGTGGATATTACGATGTATTCATTAAAGGGGACAACAATGAATGAACAAACAAAAAAATCAGTAAAAATAAAATCTATTGTAAAAGTCAACGAGTCTGTGCTGTTATTGATCCCCCTGATTCCTACATTCAGGACACATTGTATATTGATCGAAGACCTTGAAAAATAAAGGGCGCCGTCAGGATCCAAATAAACTGAAAAACCTCGTCAAATTTTATTAAACATTCTGCTATACATACCACAAGCTACAAGTGTATAATCTGTCGGTTAAAACATTGCATACCAAAGGGAACATTCATAGTTTACACACTTTGTTCACTTACAAAGTAAGACACAATAAAATACAGAGCTTAGTAAAATATATAATAGACGTCACTGTACGTTCAATAGTTTAATTGGACCTCCAATACGTTCTGATTTGATTTTTACTTTCTTAATGAAGAATGTGATCATCCCCAATGAGATTTTTTAATGACTAAAACATAGACTAATAGGATAAATATTATTATTAGTAATTCGCACAGTATTCCCTGCTTAGTCAATTCTGCCTAAACGTGATTTTCAGCAAAGAGAATAGTGTAAACATCATGATTCTTCGTTGTTAGAACGTATTGTAGCGATTACAATCATCTGGACTTTTTATTAGTTGACAGTTTAATTAGTCAGTCTGATTCCTCGGTGGTTCGAGTGGAATAGATGAAAGACAGTTACCCTGCTGTAGATCGTTTATAATCATGCGCAACGAGGTGCGTCTTGTACATTGTACAATAAGCGTGAGACATGTTTCAGGATGCATTTTATTTCTCAAAAAGTACAAAAAATTACAGAGGGAGAAAGATGCGCCGCTCACCGGTACCAGACAGACAAAACAGAGACAGAACGAGACGACCACGAGTTGCTGATTTGCCACAATGTTTCACATGAACCGGCTAGCTTCTCATTTCGATTCATCGTTCATTTCGTGGTGCCTTACCGGATTAGTGGATCCTGAAAATCCCGATTAGTCGATGTCATTTGTGATCTGCGTGACGGGCAAACATTCATAGAACAGAGGAGACACGAAATTGGTCAACTAACTACCTGGGCAACAAAAATCCTTTCAATACTTCTGCAACAGTCGCTGTGCTAAAGAAATTTTTCTTACTTTTCTGTTCTACTATAGTTATTTTTGCTACGGTCAGATTCTTTGTTCCAAGAAAGCTCTACATGTAATGGCTATTTCAAGTAATGAAATAGTAATACCTATTTAGTTATAATCACAGTGACAAGTGCTTATTAATTTTGCATTGCACAAGCAAAGTCCAACACACCCCATTTTCTACATTTCAACGAAACATTTTCATTTTATGAACTAGGTGACTTGTTCAATAATAATTTAAAGATTGAAAGACGTAATCTAAATAAAAATGAAGTAGGAACTGTTAGAGATCAATTACAACCCCCATGACTGCAGGAGAATCAAACAATGCTGCTAACAACCGAATACAAATGTTGAATGTACATTATAATAAAGCAGAAAATTTCAAAACGCAGAGACTGGAAGATCATCGGTTGTCACGGCATTTTGTGCTAACAAAAGTCACTATAAATTTTCATTAATTTACAGTAACAATGGTTCTGGTTTACATAAACAAGGAGAGGCGTTCGAGGATGCGGTAGAATAGAAAAAGCCTCGCTAAAATAAATGATTTGTTTATTCCATTAGCAGTTACAACGCTTTCAAAATCGACTTGACATTCTTCATTCGCTAAGCAACGATATTGTTACACTCTCCGAAGCATAGAACCTTCCTTTCTTTCCTTTTTTCGTTAATCCTTCACCTCATCGCTTCGCCTAGCCACATTTTGCTCTTTCTCTCTCTCTCACTCTCTCTCCACAATCTCTCACTCTCTCACGACTAAATATATCCTGTTTCTTTTAGAAAAAGAGAATGGAAGAATGAACGGTTCGATGCAAACGGTGAAGAAAGGATCGAGATTCTTTTAAACGAGAGTATGTGCGATTTAGAGAATATGTATAGGGTGTATAAATTCACCAGGTCGTTCAAAATGTGTAAACAATTGTTTACGAAAATTCGAAGAAAATGATTGATTAGAATATCCGAATGTGCTCGCATTGGCACTGCAATTTGTATTATTTTGCAGTTAATAATGAACAGTGATATAGAGATCTTCTTAAATCTCTATATCACAAATGTGTATACTGTTCGTCAAAGCTTTCTTCCATAGAGATTTTATTCTACCAATTAAAGATGTGTAAAAAGAAATATGTATAGACCAAGTAAATTGCAACACCCTGTACATCTTGTCGTCATTGAGCAATGACAAACGATACAGTTAACTGCTTCTCGATCCGACTATAAAAATCGTCGAACCCTGCACCTCTGACAACGCAAAGTATAAAATCTTTGGTCTGACTATAAACTTTCGTACAATGTTACAAAATTCGAAAGCTTATTCATAAAAATGTCTATGTCCCATGACAAGACCATTTTATTATCCTTTTATTACAGAGCTAATTGCGAGTCGCTAACAATCAATTTTGATAAACGATCGACATCGACGTACACTCGGAGAAAAATACTGAAAGAATTACGGTCTAACGGTGCCGATTCGAAATCAAATAAAATGCAAATTTGCAGACTCTATGCATCGTAGGAACCTAATCTATCCCGACATCTCCATGCCCCTGAAGATTAATGAGAAATTTCTATTCCTATACATATTTGAATATATATCATCTTTCGGCTACTTCCTAACAATGGAACAGACTATTCTATAAAGAAAGGTAAAAAAGGAGAATAAGGATTTTTTATGAGACTCTTTGCTTGGATTTTGTAATTGGTCTATTGAAGAGAAATGTTCCCACTAAAAAATAGCACTTGAAGAACGAGATCTCTGATAAAAAATTTTATTCTACATTTCTCTCCCATTTCTCCATTTAGAATCAATATTTATCACCAGCTTATACTATATCACCTCCTCTTCATTTATTTTTAACACAAACAACATCATATAAAAAAAAAATCTGTAGATTCAATGCAACAAGAAAATTAAACAAAGATAACAGTGATAAATAATTCTGCAGTTGCTCAACTGTATATATACAGGATTCGTTTCTTTGAAAATGAAAACATTTCCCTCGGTTAACAGTGGTACTCCTCAATTATGTTAACCATTATACATTGTGGTTTACATTAATATAGGACTGCAAGGATTTTAAATATCAATGAATGTGAATAATGTGAGGCATACCGGGTATCCTGTTGTCAGTAGGATATATTTCATGGGGACAGAAGGTAATTGAATTTATGTCTTCCAGTACTTACCACTGCTTTTCATACCTTTGATCTTTATTTGCTTCTTCTTTAGATCTGGAGGAATTGATAATGCTTCTCTACTCGATTCACTTCCTCCAGCCCCAGAACTACCTCCAGGCATATCAGCCTCCTGCACTCCACCCCCAACAATTTGAGCTACCAATGACTTCTTAATATTTGCAATCTGGAAAAAAATTAAAGGTCTATGAAAGAAATGCTACCACATTCCTCGATATCCATCCACAAAGTACTTACATCCCTCTGTATTCTTTCTTTATGATTAGTGGCTTTTTGCTTTTCGAGATTAGCTCTAGTAACTTGCTCTTCAATACATGCTAGCACTGTATCACAAGCCTGACCCCAAGCAGCTAATGTTTCAGCCACTACTCTGGTATCGGCTGGTCTAACGTCTCTTCCCAAGCCTGCATAATCTACTTCTAACTGTGAATTCTTTTGGTCTAGCTTGCCATGTATAATGTCAGCATAAATGGCTTCAATTATTAAATCCTCTAAATCTCTAACATTCTTTATATCTAACTCGTCGAGGAGCACAGAGTATGGTATACATCTGGACTTTGTGGCTAGTGTTACAATAGTTAAATGCTGTAGTTTCTTTTTCTGTGTAGGTGTTAGCTCTAAAACCTTATCTTTGTTCTCCAAGTATTCTCGATAGGTACCATATGCAAATAAATTTAAAGTATTCCAGTATTGAACATAAGGCCCACTCTCTAGCTCTTTGATATTGGGCATGTCTAACAACTCCCCGAATACATTAACACCTGGTGTTTCTACAGCTTGTTTTATCAGTTCTATGGCAGCTGCCCCTTTGACAGTTTTTGCAAGCAGTACAAACTGTTCCAAGGGGTTGTTAGCAGACTTTTCAGTGGTGGTACCGCCAGTCATTTTGCTCCTATTGAATATTTATAAGATAATTGACATGGAACATTAATATCACGTATAAGGCTATTAAGTAGATTACGTAGGTATTATAATTAAAGAATAGATATTAGACGAATCCGTCTTTTTAAATGACTATAGACAGGTAGGTTAGAAGAAAATTGACAAGAAAAAAAAAGGAATACAACGAACAACAGTATAGTAATCAATGCTTAAGAAATGTGAATTTATCGTGTAAATTTATTATTAAATAATTGCCACTTACTCGGTTCGATGTTTATAAATACAAAATAGCTTTTTCCACTGAATATGCTTTCAAGTGTGTGCAAGTAAGTGAATATATACAATGGTGTAAGTCCTACCACGTGAAAGAAATAAAATACTTATTAAGGGGATGATCCATTGCTCCTCGTACAACAAAACAGTGAATATCGGGAAATCATACTACGAAGACACCGTTAGAAGAAAACACTCTGAGGCAAGATGTATTCTCCTTGAATCGATAAGGTTCTTTGTGAAGTTCACGTTTGACGTTAAACGAATGTTGCCGACACTGAGATGCAACATGCACCAATGCATTCTAGAGGCGAAACTTTGGCGTTGCGTGAAATTCAAATCCAGATGCATGCGTATGCAAGTTCCAGCAAAAATATTTTAATTTTAGTGACAATTCCTCGCGTAGAATTACGTTAAATTAAATCGTCTGCACATATACGCTTTTTGGAAAATAAATCGTAAGGCATGGTGCACAATCACTCGTCTATTAAATAATATTGGTATGTTTATTCCCCCAATCTTTTGCTGCATCGCTGCATCATTCAGCGACATTCCACAGTTCAACGAAACGCTAAAACTTATAATTATAATTAATTACGTATCGACGTGTCGTTGTTAGTCGTCGATAATTGACTATCCGGTCCAGAGTTCATTTCAGACTGGAAAAATTATTTTCGAACAATTGGTTTTACCATAATATTTGGTAATTTTTTATAATTTTACCATAATATTTAATATTTTATATTTAATAGTTTTACCATAATATTTACGTTCCTTTCTCACGAAATTGTACTTTACAATACGTACATTTTGGTGTGCACAATTATGCGAAATTGTGTTTAAAAAAAGATAAGTTTCGATCGATACCACAAATTCTAGAGTACATTCATGGGAACTCTGATGCAATTCCTTTTTATTCGGCGTTGATCCGGAAGAGTGCAGCATCGGCTCAGTTGTTGCAGAATGAATTTTGTCGTTCGATATCCGAGATATGTGCAGTTGCATTTTGATCAATTTTGATGTGAATTCTTGAACAATATTGTGCAAGGTATTCCCGTCTACACGATAGTCAGGAAATACCGACCAAATGCGGAACAGTGTCTCAGTGCGATAAATTACGTACATCGGAGCTATATGTTGATCTAGTGCGTTCAAACGGGGTACTAACCTCTCACTTTCTAATTGGAACAATAACAATAAATCTTTTTTCACAGAAAACTGCTTTTCAATGCTGTTAAAATCATACCACAGAGACGCCTAAGCAACTGCTTCTGTTCATAGTTTATAATCATTACTTTAAGCAACCCAATCATTAGAAGTCCATATTTTTAGTTAGTCTGCTTTTCTATATGCTTAGATTTTTAGTTCTCCTATGATATATTTATGAATATATTTAAGCGAGATGCGTTTCTACGTTTAAACGTATTTATTCTAGTTTTCCTACATCTTGAGAAATATATAGGTGTTACGGCAGTGTGGATATCAATGATAATCTGTAGACAGAGATTTACACTGCTGGCTTTTAACAAACATTCAACTTTATTGCCTGTTACATACCTTATTGCCAATTTCAGCAGTTAATAAGGAAAACATGAGTTATCACCGTGGAGGAGGTAACAAGCCTAAAGGCTTTGGCTTTGCGGGCTTCCAAATGACTGGCACTAAGAGAAGTGGCTCTAATATACCACCTCCTCCTCCTAATTCGACGCTGAGCAAGCAAGGCTATCATACCATGAACTCTATCACAGAGAATGCCTTATCGGCCTGTTGGGGCATGCCAAAGAAACGTAGTAAAACCGAAGAAGAGTAAGTAGTTACAAAAGCGTATTCTACCCGGTAGCCATTTGTCCCATGTAATAATTAAATAATAAAACTCAGATACTTTGAGGACGACGACGATCCTCCAACGTCCTCATTGGAGTATATTCCGGCCCCTGGATCTCCTACTTACGACCTGATGAAAAAATCCGCACCTAAAGAGGACAGCGACAGCGAGGAAGATCCATTGGACGCTTTCATGGCCGGCATCGACGCGGAAGTAAAGAGGAACACCTACGAGGCTCAGTTGGCTGAGGACGAGCGCAAGGAGGATAAATCGAAAGGATTCAGGGCGGATATAGACGGGGAGGACGACGAGGAGAGTTACTACAGGTAAGTACGTTAATGTAGGCCTGATAGCCACCGAAACGAACGCGCAGGATTTGTCCTGAACAGGTACATGGAGGAGAATCCGACCGCGGGTCTGCAACAAGAGGAGTCCGACCAGGAGATCGAGTACGATGAGGACGGGAATCCGATTGCACCGCCGAAAAAGAAGGAGATCGATCCTCTGCCACCCGTCGATCACAGCGAGATACAATATGAACCGTTCGAGAAGAACTTTTACAATGTTCACGAGGAGATCGCTAGCTTGAAGAAGCAACAAATCGATGACTTGAGAAAGACTCTGGGTATCAAAGTATCCGGGCCTTCTCCACCGAATCCGGTCACCAGTTTCGGGCACTTTGGTTTCGATGACGCGTTGATCAAGTCGATCAGGAAAAATGAGTACACCCAACCCACTCCAATCCAAGCACAAGCAGTCCCTGCCGCACTCAGCGGCAGGGACATTATTGGTATAGCAAAGACTGGCAGTGGTAAAACGGCGGCGTTCATTTGGCCCATGCTGGTTCACATTATGGATCAGCGGGAGCTGAAGGCCGGCGACGGACCCATCGGATTGATCCTCGCTCCGACGAGAGAGCTGTCCCAACAGGTATTGCGATTGCTCTAGGTTCTAATTATAAACCGATCGCTAGAGTTCTCCACATCTGTTCCTTGCTGCTCATAGATCTATCAAGAGGCGAGAAAGTTTGGCAAAGTATACAATATTCAAGTATGCTGCTGCTACGGAGGTGGCAGCAAATGGGAGCAGAGCAAAGCGTTGGAAGGAGGTGCGGAAATAGTGGTCGCTACGCCGGGCAGAATGATAGACTTAGTTAAAATGAAGGCAACGAATTTAACCAGAGTCTCGTTCCTCGTGTTGGACGAAGCCGACCGAATGTTCGACATGGGTTTCGGTAAGTATCACTGAGATGGGAGGCCGGTGGATATTTTCTAATCGATTACCGTTATAGAACCGCAGGTGCGTTCTATATGCAACCACGTTAGACCCGACAGGCAAACGTTGTTGTTCAGCGCGACTTTTAAAAAGAGGGTGGAAAAACTTGCTAGGGATGTTTTAACGGACCCGGTCAGAATAGTTCAAGGCGATGTCGGCGAAGCGAATGCCGACGTTACTCAGCACGCGATAGTCTTTAATAATAATCCAATCGGCAAGTGGTCTTGGTTGTTGCAAAACTTGGTAGAATTTCTGAGCGCCGGGAGTCTGCTGATCTTCGTAACGAAAAAGGTTCGAATCGATCTCAGCGTTGTATTCCAGTAACGTTCGAAAGCATTTTCAATCTTGGTTTTGCAGTTGAACGCCGAAGAGCTCGCGAACAATCTTAAATTAAAAGAATTCGACGTTTTACTGCTCCACGGTGACATGGATCAGATCGAAAGGAACAAAGTGATCACAGCTTTCAAGAAGAAAGATGTCAGCACGTTGGTCGCTACCGATGTCGCGGGTAATTATATCATTACGTTACAACTTCTAGTTGTTATACCGACGCGGTAAGATGATTTTGTTGTTCGTAGCCCGCGGTTTGGACATTCCACATATCAAAACGGTCGTGAATTACGACGTCGCGCGAGACATAGACACCCACACGCACAGAATAGGTAGAACTGGCCGAGCCGGCGAGAAGGGTACCGCTTACACGCTCGTCACGGAGAAGGACAAAGAGTTCGCTGGACACTTGGTTCGGAACTTGGAGGGAGCGAATCAGGAGGTACCAAAGAGTCTGATGGATCTTGCGATGCAGAGCGCTTGGTTCCGGAAGTCTAGATTCAAGGGCGGTAAAGGAAAAAGCTTGAACGTCGGAGGAGCTGGACTTGGATTCAGGGGTCGACCGGACGCGTCTCCGACTTCGGTATTTATTTGAAGCGTTATAGCGTTTCTTCGATCCCAAAAAGAAAATGTTTCTGATTTGTTCGCGCGTTTCCAGAGCGGAGGTCCTTCGTCGCAAGGCTCGAAAGACATAAGCGAAGTTGTGAAAAAGTTGGAAAGGCACGGGCCCGGTAGCGATCGTTTGTCCGCAATGAAAGCCGCTTTCCGCAGTCAATACAATTCTCAGGTGAGTTTCAGCGAACCCCAGGAACAACGACGTATTGTAGAAGTAGCTACACGGTCGACGATCTTTAATTTCAGTTTCGGGCATCGTCGGATCACACGTGGGAACAAACTATAACGCCGCCTTCTGTGATAATGCCTCCACCGCCGCCGGTCCCGCCGAAACCGAACACGGAGCAGTCGCGGAATCAGGAGAACCAAGCTGCGAACGCGACGGGAGAGAGGAGAAGAGTGAGAAAGAGTCGATGGGAATAATCGGACGCCTGTCAATCCACGATTATTTTGTGTATACTGCTATGCTGCGATAATATGCTAAGAATCGACGATACCGAATTGTTTTATATTATATCAAAATTTAATTTTACCAATTCCCGTATATTGTCGTGCATCCTCGTCATCTAAGCTCTCGCCCCCCCTTTCCTACCAAATCGATCTCTGGACGTTTCTCCTCCGGTCTCTTTCGCCGAGAATCGCAGCAACGCGTCGATGGTCAACGAGAATCAGTTTTTATTCAGATATCCTCGATACAAAAGTTTGAACCAGGGGTCCTACGTTCTACGGAGTAATGCAATTAAATCTTTCCTCGTTACATGTATGCCGGACAGCGATAGAGCGATAAGAATTAGTATAGGCAAGGTTGTATCGTAAGAAGATAATCTCGCGGGTGAGCAATTCTCCCGAACGCGAGGCTCGTCGTCGCGTGTTCTCGGTCCTCGTCGGTCGATTACGGTTAGCACAGTGTCTCGTTACAACGGGATAGAAAGTGTCTTTTTCGCAATGAAAAACCAAGCGCGAGCGCGCGCGTTTACGCAACGGACACGCGTTCGTCCGGCTCGCAGTTTCCTCCGAATGAATCACGTTCCAATTATCCTCGTAAAGGAATCGGCGACTCTACCGGTATCCCTCGTTCTTTCTCATAATTGTATCGTTGCCTTCGAGCGCGATCCGTTCCGCTGCCATTTTCATAGCTATCTCGTTCTCTCGGATTATCTTGTTCCCGGTCTCGCGGTCCCTCGAGACGCCCGCGGAACGACAAAGATTTGCTCGATTATGGGATGCCGGGCACAAACTCTATGTTCAGTCTTCGTTGCAGGACAATTCTGCGTCTACGGGCTGATGCATTGCGGCATGGCGGGGCTGCTTTTCCTTCTGGTCTTCTCGCTCGGCTGGGCACCGTTCGCTTGGCCGACGGACTTCGCAGTTCTGTTCGCGTCGTTGTTCTTGCTGAACTTCTCCATGGCTCTGCTGTAAGACCCCGTGCAAACCCGGCCCCAGAGCCGCTTGTCCTCCGCGGTCTGCTTGCCCCGTCCCTCGTTCGACGTTCTCGCGTCGTTCCTCTTCCGCAGCTTGCCGGCGGTGTCCTCCTTCTCCGAAGGAACCGGCTGCGCCTCCTCCCACGAGGACCCGGTCACCTCCGACTGCACACTGCAAGGTGTCTGGCAGCTGCTGTCGCTCGACATGGAACAGGACCTGACGATAGAGGCCGGCGCGTCCAGCTTCGTCTTGCTGTTCTCCTCTTTGCGATACAAGCTCGTCGGCGGCTCGCTCCGTGCCCGAGAAGAGTTCCCGGACGGCGGCGATTCTTGACTCTCGCAGCTCAAGTTGTCGTTCACGATTATCTTGGCGATCGACGTCCTCTTCCGCAAGTTCTCCAGGTTCTCCCTCGGCGTGTATTGAGAACTGTCCACTCTCTGCAGGATGTCCTTCAGGTTCACGTTCGCGCACTCCGCGTTGTACGCCGGCCTCGACCGATCCTTCTCGAGCGGCGCTTTTCGGCCGTGCTTCCCGTTCGAGATCACGAACGTCGCCTTCTTCGTGGCCGCGTTCCGAGGCGCGTCTCTGCCGTGGCACGTTATTTCCGAGAATATGTAATTCGGCAGTCTTTCCTTCTGACAAGCCGCGGGCCCGAGGTTCGGCCGGTCCGCGAAAGCGGTCGCGCTCGCGTTCATTTGCGCACCTTTCACACACCGCTTGTACTTCTCGTCGATCCTTGTGTCCACGTTGTCGCGAACGTCCATGTTCTCCGTGAAGATAGAGTCGCCGTTGATCTCGATCGGCGGCAAGATCGGCCATTGTTTCGGCGCGGCGTCCTCCTTTTCGCTGTTCTCTATCGTCACTCGGCCGATCGGTTTCTTCTCGTCGCTGCCTCCTTCCCCGGAAACGGTCGTGCTCGCCTTGTCGTTCGTCTTCTCCGCGGCCTCGTCGTTCTCCTCGTCGTCCTCGTCGTCCTCGTTCCCCGAGTCGCGGTCGAACCTCTTCAGCAGGCCCTCGTTCTTCTCGTCCTTCTTCCTCAGCTCCTCCCAATTCTTCCGCGGCTTGTAGCTCGTCTTTCGCCGCACGATCTTCGTCTCCGTGATGTCGATGTCCGGGATAAACAGCCTCAGAGCTTTCGTACCGGTCGGGAACGTGACCTCGTTGATTCTCTTCTCGGTCATGATCGCTTCCAAGCTGGACTTCGAGGCCACCTCTTGGTGCTTGTTGAACGCGGAAACGAGCTGCGCCACCGTGTACTTCGGCTCCTCGGTCTCGGACTCGGTCGATCGGTCCTCTTTGTCGTCCGAAGTCGCGGAATTGTTCGAATGGCTCGAGGCGTCCGAGTGCTGACGTTGGCAGGGATGTCTGCCGGCTATCAGATTCGGTTCCGGTTTACGATTCGCGGGGCTCTCGTCGGAGTCCTCGGTCAGCGTGTCCGACTCGATGGACTTCAGAGAGTCGAAGTTCTCCTCGGACTCGTTCGGTTCGTTTTTGGCGTTTGCCGCGTCGTTCTCGATCGCTTTGATATTATCGTCGCTCGCAGCACCGGCGACGATGATATCGGTCGTGGCAACGGTCGCGTCCGACGGCTCCGGCTCGGTCACGTTGTTGCATTCGTTGTCGTCGGGAAGCGTCCTCGGTTCGGTCAAGTCTAGGATATCGTTCTTGTCGCAGGCGGTCACGATCGACGCGTCCGAAACGTTCGACGAGTTCGACGCGTCGATCTCGGCGCCGAGACGCTTAAAAATCGGCAGCATATCCTCGGTCTTGGCGCGCTGGTAGCTCTTCCGTCTACGTCTGAGACACTCGAGGCTTCTGTATATATCCAAGACCCCTTGGGACTTGGACAACGATCTGAGCCCGTACAGCTTCTCGCGGGAATGGCTGATCACCGGGTTGATTATCATTCGCGTTTGCAACGAGCTCGAGGCTGCCGAGGGGTTTCCGTTCAGCAAACACGCCTGCGATTGGATTCGATTCAGGCTTCGTATTCGTGACAGGAGTCCTCGACTCGGCCCGTGATTCAGATTCGCCTGCGACCGGCTCTGAGCGCGACTCAGCAAGCCTTGCGTCTGCTCTTTGTTCAGCAGGCAGCTCTGACTGGCGCAGCTCAAATTGGTCCTGGAGGAGTTCAAGCTGGTCCGCGACTCCGCCGGGCTCGGGAAACCTTCGCTACCCTCGAGACTAGATCGGCTTCCGGTCAGCCGGTGACTCAGGCACATCTCGCTTTGACTCAGCAGACAGTCCTGCAAGCTCTGGTCGCAATGATTCGGCTCGTGCCCGTCGCTCGACGACAGATTCGCTTGGCTGCTCGCCTGGCTCAAAAGCGCCGCTCGCCGCAGATTCTCGCGGCTGACAACCCGCTCCAGCAGGATCTCCCTCGATTTCGACAGGTATCGTCTCAGGTGGGGCGACGCTTGTGTGGGTGCGCCGCGCAACCAGTCGTGACGCAGGCATTGTTTCGCCGTCATCCGTGCACTGGAACCATCGCGAGATTCGACAATGAATGGACGCGTTCGTTTGTTTACGCGTATTTATTTATTCGAGCGAATAAGCCCTTGGCAAACTTATCGGAGAGCCGTGACCTCGCCGATTTCCATCACGTTGGAACATGTTGTAAATAGACCACGGATTTTTATGGAAAATACAAATTTCGTGGATTGCAAGAAATATAAACGAAATAGTAGGTTTTTTCTTTCTTCGATACATTTTAACAGGTTGAAAATAATACATTGACGTTTTTAAATAACGTTTTAATTCTCGATGTGTCTACTATTGTATATTGCAACTATTCAATTTTACCATGAATGTATACAATCCGCAGTCTAGTTATAAAACGTGATATTCTTAACAATTTTTTGTTTTGGGAAAGTTGGCGGTCGGTCTTTATAAAAATTGGCTCGTCGTCGAGTTTATCAGCGTACGTATAGAGAAAGTAATTAAGAATATTTCAACTAAGAAATTCAGCTATTTGCAAATACTGTTTCTCTCAACTGTGTTACGACATGCTAAATTTGAAATAGTAATTTATTTCTGTATTAAATGGTATACTACTCGAAACACTTAATTTATTTTACAGATATATAATAGCTACTTAAAATATATTTTTTAGAATATGAACCTAAAATACTGAATTGAAACAAATATTTTACAATACGAATCTGAAATACTTAATTGAAATAAATATTTTACAATACGAATCTGAAATACTTAATTGAAATAAATATCTTCTTTGTTGTGCGTGAAATCAAACACTTGAATATTATTTCCATGAAACTTTTCCGACCAAGCAATTGCAAATACACTGACCGAAATTTCCATAGCTCCGCCAAAAATTTTACCTGTTATCCGTAATTACTTTATAAATTTTTAACTATGTATCACTGTCTTGGTTACGTCTATGTCACAGACTTGGAATTTAAGTCTGTATCTGTATATTTCTTCAAAGCCAATTCATTGGCAAACGTTTTCTCTTGCAACAGTTTTCAATATTGTCTTTTGTTTTAATTATTACGACATTGTTGTTACGACAATTGAAACAAATCTTAATTAATTTTTAAGCATTTAGGCAGCCACGGCTAGATGCATTCAAATCTTGACGATTAATTTTCATTTGCATATTATTCAAACCTCTTTGTTCAGACCAAAGTTAATCGTTTCATTATTTTCAATATTAATGATTTATATTTTAATATTAATCATTATGTTATATTACCATTAATATTTTAACATTAATGATTTCACACGAAATTAGAATTTAGACGGAATATTTGTAACTCTGGGTCCAAATGGACCCAGTGTCCGCCGTTTGGGGAATACAAAACCGTGAGTACCCGAAAGAAATTTTATAGAACATGATAATGAGAAAATTCCAGCATGAAATAAGAAATGAAACCGTTGTTTATTAAAAATATTGAGAAACCAACAATTTCTCAATTGTGGTCGACAACGATATATCGTTGTTAAAGGGTTAAAAACTTGAGTCCTATTATCTCATCAAAGAGCGAGACGCTGCGATCGTTACCTTGGGTCCAGCACCAGCAGCTTCGCGACGAAATCCTTGGCCTGCGCCGAAATATCGCCGAACAGCTCCTGCGGGAAGTCCACCTCGCCCAGCGATATGTTCTGAAAGGTTTCCTGATCGGTTTCACCGCCGAAAGGAGAGAATCCCGTCAGGAGAACGTAGGTCGTCACGCCCAGGGACCTGAAACGACCGCGTCGATCGAGGGAATCGAAAGCAGGTTCGAGCAATGATGTTTCTTATCCTTCTCATACGTACCACATATCGGCCGCCAACGTGATCGGCTCGTAGTGGAGGATCTCGGGCGCTAAAAACCAAACAACGCTTGTACTTTGGCCTGTCCTACTCTTAGGATCCCGAAAACATCTAGGATTCTCGGTGGACCGGCCTCTTTTCACCTGGCGGTGACGCCATGCCCGGCGACGTAATTTTTATTTGGAAACGAAAATCGGCCGCCCGGTGGGCGTCGATGATCGAAGGCGGCTGAGCAAACACGCACGGTAGTCCTCGAGGGACAGTGGATTCATTCCGTGGTTCATTCCGAAGGATTTACAAAGCGGCGATAAAAGTCGAACTCGACGAGCTATTAGATTGGTGCGTATGAAATGTCCGATTTTTAAGCGAATATATAAAACGGCGTATCTTTTTTCAAAAGCTATTTATTTAACACGTTCCATGCCGAGCTTTTTTTACTCGAATCTTCACACTTTGATATTTTACTAAAACTTGATGTATTACGTGCAATTATTAATTCTCGTACACATAACAACGTAACAAAAACTTATCAACGCCCATTCTTGCGGTGGAAATTGATTCTTCGGTTCTAAATTTCTTGTAAACAATTTGTTCAGTTCGCTAAGTAAACATGCAAGCGTGTACCATCGATGGTACACGTGGCACGGAACGTGTTAATCGAAATATACTCCGTTCGCTTCAATACACTTTTCCCAACGAGATTTTCCTGCATAGATGCCTGTCTCAAAGAAATTCTGATCTTTAGAATCGATAAACTCTGATATGGAATTTTTCAGACTTCTTCATTTTCGTACCGTTTAGCCCGTAAAAACTGTTCTGAATGTTTAAAAAAAATGAAAGTCGGTTGGCGAAAGATCCGGCGAATAAGCTGGGCGCTGCAAAATTTCGTACTTTAATTCATTTAATTTCGCGATTATTTTGTACGACGTATGCGACCGAGCGTTGTCGCGGAGAAGTATTGGGCCATGCCGATTAACAAGCGACGGGCGTATAATTTTCAATTTTTCACGCATTTCACCGATGTACCGGCAGTACTTTTCGTCTGTAATTGTCTTCACAGTTCGAAGGAACGAGTAGCGAATTGCTCCGGTCACATTCGTTTCCATCAACGCTTTCAGAGCATCATTTTTCACAGACGTTTCGGGTCTTCCACGCGGTTCATTTTGCAAGGAAAAATCAGCAGACCGAAAATTTCCAAAGCAACGCCGCACTTTTCGATCGTTAACAGTATTCTCCCCAAACGCCTGGTTTATATCGCGTGCAGCTTTTGCAGCATTATTACCAAGTTTACACTCATATAAAAAAATTACACGAATATCGGTTGCATTCATATCCTTACGAAATTCAAAGCAAACAACAAGATGGAACGCTTTCGAGAAAATCTTCTTCGTTGAAATGCGACTCTGGCAATGGACGGGTACGACTATAAACGAGATTATGCGAAAAACAAGAGCATAACGAAAACAGGGAGACAAACGTTCGCATGTAAAGAAAATCCGACATTTCATATGCGCCAACCTAATATCNTCTGATATGGAATTTTTCAGACTTCTTCATTTTCGTACCGTTTAGCCCGTAAAAACTGTTCTGAATGTTTAAAAAAAATGAAAGTCGGTTGGCGAAAGATCCGGCGAATAAGCTGGGCGCTGCAAAATTTCGTACTTTAATTCATTTAATTTCGCGATTATTTTGTACGACGTATGCGACCGAGCGTTGTCGCGGAGAAGTATTGGGCCATGCCGATTAACAAGCGACGGGCGTATAATTTTCAATTTTTCACGCATTTCACCGATGTACCGGCAGTACTTTTCGTCTGTAATTGTCTTCACAGTTCGAAGGAACGAGTAGCGAATTGCTCCGGTCACATTCGTTTCCATCAACGCTTTCAGAGCATCATTTTTCACAGACGTTTCGGGTCTTCCACGCGGTTCATTTTGCAAGGAAAAATCAGCAGACCGAAAATTTCCAAAGCAACGCCGCACTTTTCGATCGTTAACAGTATTCTCCCCAAACGCCTGGTTTATATCGCGTGCAGCTTTTGCAGCATTATTACCAAGTTTACACTCATATAAAAAAATTACACGAATATCGGTTGCATTCATATCCTTACGAAATTCAAAGCAAACAACAAGATGGAACGCTTTCGAGAAAATCTTCTTCGTTGAAATGCGACTCTGGCAATGGACGGGTACGACTATAAACGAGATTATGCGAAAAACAAGAGCATAACGAAAACAGGGAGACAAACGTTCGCATGTAAAGAAAATCCGACATTTCATATGCGCCAACCTAATATCTCTGGGGAGGCTCCGGCGGTCTCGGCGATACGATCGCAAGAAACGTTCTCGTTCGTAACGAAAAGCGTCGCACTCGATTAACATATTCAACGATACAGTCTCTCTCTCTCTCTTTCTCTACGCCGGCGGGATTATTCAACGAATCGATAGGATCAGCGGGAAGAATGTCGTTGATCAATTATATCGTTAACTGCGCAGCCTACGAACGATCGCGAGCGCTTCTCGCGGAGCAAACAAACTCTGTCCCTCGATTCGAAGGAGCCTCGCCGTTCGAGCTCGATTTTCATTTCGATAGCCGGTCGATCGAATTAAGATTCGCTCTACGATCGCGTAGAGCATCGCGACGACGGCCATTGTCGTCCGCGAAGCGCCGAGAGACGCTCTCGAAGTCGCTGGACAAAGGAGATCCTTCGTGCTCGGCCCGAATAGAGAGGTTTCCGCGTCGCAAACGGCCGCGCCGGCAGCTCTCGGACGACCGCGTCGCGCAATGAGGCTAACGCGTCAATTAATATCCATTATATTCGCGGACTCGCGGCGTACGGGGAGATCGTCAATTAGCGAGGCGAGATATCGATCGGTGGCGATTAAGCGGCGACCGAGAGAGCAAAGTGCCGACACACCTGTTTACGTCCGCCGGGCGAGGCGCGTTCACGGCGCGGAGTAATGCGCGCGATACATCATCCCGATACCGGCAAAGCGACGGCAATTTATATTTTTCCAGGAGAGCGGAGATTTTCGGTCGCGGCGTATGCCGGAAGACAAAAGCGGCTCGTTTGTCCGACATGTGTTTCTCTCGGTTTGCTCTTGTTGGCCGGCTCGGGAGAGGCGCGCGCGATTAAGCCGCAACGGCCGTAAAACGGAGCCGCGAACAAAACGACCAAAACGGAGAGGTTGGTTGTGCTTACCCACGTAATCCGGCGTCCCGAGGATCTCGCGAACCTCCGTCCCCTCCAAGACCACCCTCGAGATCTCGAAGTCGCAGAGCTTCACCTCGCACTCCGGGAAGCTGCCCATCATCACTAAATTTTGCGGCTGGAACGTAAAGCAGCGTGGACGGTCAGAAACGGACGGCCGCGATCGGGCCGGGCACGCAGGCCCCGCGCTCGCCTTCCGACAGCAATTAGCGGCCATTAATTGAGCCGTTAATCGAGCTCGCCGAAGGCTCGGCGTTTTTTTCTTCCTTTAATTGAATTTCGATCGTAAATAAGGTACAAACGACCGGAACTCGAGGCAACGGGAAGCGGCCGCGTCGCGTTACCTTCGGCAATGAGCGAAAACTGCGGGTCGTTAAGAATTTTTATAAGGCCGATCACCGGCCCGGCGGATCTCAATTATAAACAGGACCGTGGATCGGCCGACGTGGACGACCGGCGATCGGCCGGTCTGGCAGCTTGTTATTAAGTCGGCCGACGTCGTCCGCGCGGATTCTACGAAGTTTCCGTGGCCCGATATAAATATTCCCGCCGCGAATCGCCGATCGTGAACGGCTTTTACGCGAGTGCTTTTACGCGCGAACTGAAACCGTAAAGAGAACTGGACCCGATCTGGACCCCGGCGGAACAGCGCACAGTGCGTTGTCCCGGGGACCAAAATCGGTAGATCGACTTCTCGGTCGATGTGAGTAGAATTTAGGAACGTGTTGTACAGCGTGTTGCTGAGGTCAGGTAGGAAATACAGTGATTTCTTCCTGAAGTTACTTCAAATGACCTCAAGGTGGTCAGGGTGACCTTTCCGGGTGGTAACATAATTACGGGACACCCCTTATATTGCTCTTTCTCTTATTTCTCTTGTTTTCTTCCAGTAATTTTCGTTGCGTAGCGCATGAAATAAGATATTGTAAAATACTTAATTATTAATCAAAAATTAATCGAAACAATACTGTGACTTTCAGATAACATCATTATTTTAATAAGTATAGTAATTTGTTCTTGATTCGCGCTCAGATTGCACAGAAAATATCATAGCGCTTGAAATAAGATATTGTAAAATACTTAGTTATTAATCAAAAATTAATCGAAACTATACTGTGACTTTCAGATAACATCATTATTTTAATAAAATGGACAATTTGAGAAGAGGAGCTACGATTATTCGAGCCTTGCAGCTCATTTTTTATAGTCACCGATTGTCAATAACTGTCGCTCGTTTTGCGATACAAGAAAGTGGTTAGGTAGAAACATGACATCGAAGAAAGAGACATTTTCTTCTATTGTTTAAAGCATAATCTACTACTTGTAATCAGTACTGTGTTATTCTGTGTTTTGATCTTTTTCTCCATTTTTTCTTTTCACTTCTATTTCAATGTATTATAAATTTATCAACAAGCATAATGTTGCTTTTAAAAATAACTTTTGATCAACTTCGTTGTTACGTTATGTAAAAGATCACGTAAAAATTAGCCGTAAAGAGAGATGCCAAATAAATTGTTATAATTTGTTTCCAGTTCAGTTACGAGCTACGACGAGTACAAGAATTGTTTGCTAAGTGGCTTTCAAGCAGCTCGGGGGAAGAAAGAACAGAAGTATTTGCTCTTACTGAAATCATGGTCGGGATAAATGTAAGTAACAGTTTCATTTTATTAATATAATAATTGATGCGCGAAGTGTGAGTAATGAACTAACACATCACAAAATACCGACATTTGACTTAACTCTTCAATTTCAACTGAATCGACCACCTTCGAATTCCTTACAATTTTCCAGGAATGTTCTATCAAATTGTAAAAAGATACTTCTATCAATAATTCATCAATAACAATTAACTGCAATGGAAAAATGACTATCAAACCGTTTATTTCACAAGAAATTCAGATTCTTTTCATCAATTAACGCATTTTCTTCTCTTTAACACGTTTAGGGCTGACAATCAACAAATTCCCACAAAGTTTAAGCAATTTAATTAATTAAACCGAAATTAAGAAAGTTAAAATCTATTATAGCGGACAAGATTAAAACTCTTTCGCATGCGAAACATTCAAGTTTCAGTCAAATTCTGTTGAATTCTGTTGAATTCTGTTAAATTCTGTTAAATTCTGTCAAATTCGGTCAAATTCAGTCAAATTCTGTCAAATTCTGTCAAATTCTGTCAAATTCTGTCAAATTCTGTCAAATTCTATCAAAATCTGTCAAAATCTGTCAAAATCTGTCAAATTCTGTCAAAATCTGTCAAAATCTGTCAAATTCTGTCAAATTCTGTTAAATTCTGTTAAATTCTGTCAAATTCCGTCAAATTCTGTCAAATTCTATCAAAATCTGTCAAAATCTGTCAAAATCTGTCAAATTCTGTCAAAATCTGTCAAAATCTGTCAAATTCTGTCAAATTCTGTTAAATTCTGTTAAATTCTGTCAAATTCCGTCAAATTCTGTCAAATTCTATCAAAATCTGTCAAAATCTGTCAAAATCTGTCAAAATCTGTCAAAATCTGTCAAATTCCGTCAAATTCTGTAAAATTCTGTAAAATTCTGTCATATTCCGTCAAATTCCGTCAAATTCCGTCAAATTCCGTCAAATTCAGTCAAATTCAATTTGTTCGAGTATATTACAACGAAAATGAATGTTCAAAATAGGTCAGAAACTAGCGTCGCCTATACGTGACCAACGCGACGCTCGACGCGTTAAAACATTGTCAACGTTTCTACATCGAAAATCGAGTAGCATAAGAGTCACGAATATCGTCCGAGACGCTGAAACGAAGCTGAACGCGGCGTGCCGCAGCTTGTTGTTGCCGCAGCCGGAGGATTCGCGGTTCGTCCGTAGAAACATCGCGAGCATTTACATAAACACGGCAGATGCTGTTACGATAAATTCAAGCGCGAACGGGGAATAGAATAGAATATTAAGTTCCCCGGCGAACGGGCGCGCGATCTTCGCTGCGATCTCTGCTGCGCAGCTGTGCGCTCCGCGACACGGACGGGATTATTTTTCCAGATAGAGGACACGGGCTTGCGCGCGCGCGCGCGTTCTCGTTCGCGTTCCGTTTCTCGGACGAGAGAGCCGCATATTTTCGCGAGCTGTTTTCGAGAGCCTCGGTCCTCGAATTCGAACGCGACGACGGTCCACATGGCGGCGTTACGCAAGGGACCACGGGAGAAGGGAACAAACGACAGTGCATTCGCTCCGGTAGAATCTTCCTGGCTCGAGCGCCGCGAGGTCCTTGGAGAACGGCGCGTGGGCGCATCTGAATATTCAAAGTTTCTCTCGGTAGTCCCGTCACGCTGCGCGACGCCACGCGGCTGATAAATCATGACAAAAGACGCAAAAATAATTCTTCGCTCGTTAGGCCCGCGGAGACGCGCAATTCCGCGCGGGTGGCCGATAGAGCGGCCGCGGGTTTGGCCGGGATCGACCCGCGGATCTTATCGGCCGACGAACGGTTCCCGTTCTTTATTTCGACGGGCGCACACCATTCGTCGATCCCTGGCTAAACGACTCGGAAGGATATCGCCGGGGCCCACGCGATCGGATACTCGACGATGGACTCGACCCGCTGACCAAACAACGGCGTGGGCCGAAACATCGTGTAACGCGACGGGAAGCTGCGTCCCCTCCGGACCGGGCCGTTTACATCGCGGAGAGACTTTCGAGAAATATTTCTTATTTTCGACGCGGCGCGCGGTGGTTCGAGATGCTCGACAATGCGGATGGAAATATGAATACGGTAATTTCTCCCTAATTCGCGCGCAGATCGCGCACGAAGATGGACGTTTTGGGAAGAGGTGATACGATTGTGCGAGCAATGCGTCTCGCTTTTATAGGTGTTGACGATCGGTGACTATGGAAAGGAGCCGCGAGGCTCGGATAAGCGTGTCTCGTCTTCCCAAATTGTCCATTTTTGTGCGCGATCTCGGCGCGAATTAGGGAGAAGTTACCGAACTTCGATAAGAAGACTGTAATTCAGGCAGAAATTAGTATCCAGAGGTTTTCGAGGTCACTCATTACGAATCTACAGTTGAAAAAGGGAAGCAAACGAAATTAAATTAAATTGCTAAAATTAAATTGTCTAGAAAATGTTTTAGACAACAATTTAATTTCAATTTGAGTTTCAAGGGAGACATAACTTTCATTTTTTGTTCGAGTTCCATTTTTACGTTATCAGAAGGAAGAAAGTATAATAAATTCTGACCAACGTGACACAAGAAACGATATCAGCACCAAAGCCGCAAGTTCACGCAGCTGTAACTTGTTTATTTATGTACTCTGAAGTTTAATGCACTATAATAATCAAGTTTTACATTGACGCAAGCTGTCGCAAAAAACTTGCGTCTGATTGAAGTACAATTCTTTTATTAAAAATTCATTCCAGCAAAACTCGAGTTCTACTAAAATCAACAATGATACTATTGATTTAACAAAAGTAATATATTTCTTCATTAGGTATATAATTAATGTACAAAAACTTTTCTGTTTCAAATTTCTCAGCTATTCTCAGTACTGTTTAAAAGGCGATGCGGTTTTAACTAAAAAACGCAGTTATTTTTTCCCTCTAACTTGCATACTACATTTTTGGAACAAATTGAAAGTATTTAAAGAAAATATTCATCGATTTTAGTAAGTCATATATCCTGCTATGGAATCAAAGAAAGGAATTTGTTTCCTTAACATTAAAAGAGTTTACTTTTTTCCTGCTGACACGTCAAATAAATCGAATTAAATTTTTAATTAAAAACAAATATATTCATTAATGAAGTAGCGAATTTTGAGATTACTGGACGATAGCATTTTAATATTGAAGGTAAACTTTTATCTGCAAGGGTCATCATTAGTCATAAAATAGTGGTTTGTTCTCAGTCCATTAATATTATGGAAAAGATAGGATAAGCGAACACGAACATGATTATATTTCATGATAGTGTTATAGGTACACATATTCAAGATTACTTTGCGTGCGAAACAAGCATTAAGACACGATCAGCAAATGTGTCAACAGAAAAGAAAATTAGTCAAGTTAATCTTTTTCATATATAGAATCATTTGTTTGAAAATATTTCTATGGAAATAGAACTACAATTACTATCTCTCTTTAAAATCAGAAAAGCACCATTTGTAATAACAAGAGCTGTTTCAAATTACGAAGATTAAACACAGTATCGATGAATTCTATAACACTGCAAACAATTCGAATCGATAAAAAGCCAAATTAAAGCTCTGATTTAACTTTTAAATCCAGTAATAACATTTTCTGGATAATTTTGACTGTTCCATATACTTTGAAGAATTATCTGATGATATAACAATTCATTTAATATTAAACTTACCGCGGTCAAAATGTGCGTTTTCTTATTTATGCAATTCTGCAAACTTTGAAGACTTTTTCATGGAAAATGCTCGAATAACTTACATTACTGGAAAAAGTTTTCTAATAAAAATTTTACAAAATCTAGATAAATTCGATCTTCTTATTTTTATGAAGCAATGCATACCTAGTTATTATTACCCAGTTACTATTGACAGATTCAGTGCTAAACTATTACGTTGTGTAACAAGTCCGTTCGCGGACGTCTGGCACATAGGAAAAGACAAGGAAAATTACACGAATTCAAAGCGACAGTTCAGATAAATTTCGAGATATGTTCCCGTAGAGCTATTTCTATGCAACTTAGCTTAAATGAAAGCTGCAAGTGTCTACTTTAAGACCGGGTAGATCAGATTGCAACAGAATGACGAGATCATTTTGAACAAATTGAAAGGAATCAACATCTGACATCATGAGAATTACAAGATTCAAAAGGAAAAGTTCGGATGGACTTTAAGATACGTTCCCGTAGAGAAATCTCTACGCAACTTAGCTTAAATAAAAGCTGCAAGTATCTACTTCAAGATAAGATAGATTATAATGCAACAGAGTGACGAGATTATTTAAAACAAAAAATTGAAAGTAATCGACCTCTGACATCATGAGATTTACAAGATTCAAAAGGAAAAGTTCGGATGGACTTTAAGATACGTTCCCGTAGATCTATTTCTCCGCAACTTAGCTTAAATGAAAGCTGCAAGTATCTACTTCAAGATAAGACAAACTATAATATATTCGTAACATCGAGAAATCAAGCATCGCCCAGCATTTCGGCGCATCGGGACACCGTGCGGCGCGGCGTTACCTCGGCGCGTTAACAGAGCCCTTTTAAGCGCGCTCGGAACGAGCCGAGGCGTTACATTAAATTGCCCCTCCTCCTCCTCCTCCTCCACCCGTTTCAGTAAATGTCGGCCGAGACACCCAGAGGTGCTCCAGTTACGGCGAACAGGTTGGCCGCTCGTGTCCACGGGGACGCGGACAGAGCTAATGATTCATCGTGTGCGAACTGCCTCGTAGACCAGAATGCGATTGCACGTTCGCGATAGGTACGTGGGAGCCGCGTTTTATTCCGTCTTCCCGACGGGCCAGTCCCGGAGAAACGTCCCAGGAAACGAACGGCGGTCCCGAACGCCGCTGAGAAACGGCGTCCCGGTCGCCGCGCGCTCCGCGATGCCTTCCTTTCTCTTTCGCGGGATTCTCGCGAGTTATCAGCGGCTGCTCCAGTTATGGCGGTCCGGCGCACGTATGCAGGTACCGAGGAGATAGGGACCAGGTGTGATTCACCGACGGAGCCGGGGCGTGGTCGTTCCGACGAGCGTGGGGTACCATTGCGTTCTCTTTTTCTTCCACCCTGGACGCTCGTCCCGGAGCACATTTTTCCGATTCCCTCGGAATCGGCCGGATCTCCGGACTTTCGAATTCGCCGAGCACTGGGAGAAGCTTGGAGAAGCTGGAAGGCAGCGTTTACCGGCGCGGCGGGACTCGCAGCGGCGTACAATGCTGATAATTGCATCGATTCGGCGGTGGATACCGAGAGGTGCAGCTGCACGTACTCACTCGCCTCGCCCCGCCTCGCCTCGCGCGGCGCGACGCTGCGTCGAGTGCATCGCTTGCATCGCTTGCATCGCGTGCATCGCGTCCCGCAACCCGCGGCCGTCCTCCACGGTCCCCGATACGCGCCCCACTATATCCAAATACGGTGGTCGAGTGTTTATGGAGCGCGGGAATAATGTAAGTGAGTGCTCGCGAGCGGTGCAGCGATTCCTCCGATTCCCCCGGCGCAGAGGGGGGTTGTACGATTCCCGATTACAAAAACCGAAATCGCGTCTGGGTGAGATAGCCGCCGAAATGACCGCGGCTTGTTGTCCGGCGAAGGCGACACGCGGCGGGATAGGTTTATTTTCTGTACGGGAAACAGCTCTTCGAACGACGCCCGATTTACAACGTTCCGGCGGCGACAAATTCGCGCGCGGCCTCCCCGAACGAAAGTAAATCGAGCCCGCGCGAGAGAGGAAGATACGTCCGACACGGATTTACGGCCGGACGGGTTTAAGGTCCCGTTCGGACGATTCTTAATCGGCGCGGGCGCCGATCTTCTCCTTTTTTCACCGATCGTAAGTTCCGAGGAAGGTGACGGCCGAACATGTCGCGCCGCAGTTTATATCGGTATTTACGCTGGTGCGCAGGCACCGAGGCGCGAAGCCGCGTGCATCGCGAGCCAATCGAATCCGAAACGGCCGACTAAATAAATAACCGGCCGTGATCGAAACCGCGCGCGCGGGTCAACCGCGGCGACGCGATTTACGGAGTGTAGAACGGCGGCGGAAAAATCGGCACGCGTTGCGGAACGGCTTCGCGAAGGATGTTTCCTCGGCCGCGGCCGGCTCGTCGACCTTTCGCGAATTTCTCGCGGATCCTTTTATCCGTGACGTGAAATCGGATGAGCCCGGAATTCGCCTGGCCGTCGCGTCGCGTCGCGTCGCGAACCGTCATGGTCGAGGACATAAACCGCCGTTCCTTCCTTTTTCCTGATCGCCGAGCGCAATCGACTCCGCCGTTCCGCGCATTTAATTGAAATTTATATAGCTCCGCGCGTTGTCCCCGGCTCGCTTTGTCCAACAAAAATGTCGCCGCCGCCGTCGCCGCGGAAAAAAAGTAGCCGCGCGATCGATCCTCTCGAATCGCCTCGGCGCGGAACCGCCGCGGAACTCTCAATCGCACCGGACGCGAGCTCGATGCTTTTTAGGATCGCGGCGCGTAAAAATCGTCGACCGGTCGTTACTGCCGATTAAAGAAGACGGTTGTTGCCAGGGCGAGGCGGATCGAGGCGGGACGGGGGAACCGGCGTGCTGAAAATACGCGACACGGCGAGCCGTCGTGTCCGCGGAGTTTTTTTCTTCTCGCGGGGACGTTCCGCGTCTCATCGGCCAAAAAGGTGTTTATGTTTCCGCGATCGGGGCGGAATAAATGGCGCGCGTGCGTCGGGAGGCCGCAATAAATTGCCCGGGAACGAGGCAGAACAGGGGCGAGGAACGCGGCGCGGTCGTTTACCAGTCGGACCCGAGAAGTCCGCGGAGTTCTTTCGACGCTGTCGGACGTGTCGCGAGGTTTCCGGAGGCGCGAGGAGCGCTCGATCGCCCCGCCGCGGGTATCTCTTCTTTGTCCGGCCGGGACGTAAAAGGCAATTCCAATTTGTTTGTCGAGCATGTTTATCGCGGAATCGCCTTGGTCGGCCCGGAACGATCGCAATTAAAGCTCCTCCTCGGCGAACGCTTCTCTCTGCCCGTCCTCGCCCCGTCTCCGGCCGAACGAAGAAAAATCGCCGCGGAAAATCAGCTCTCGAAACCGGCGTCGGTTCAACGCGCGGCGACCGCTGCGAGCTTTATGGCGGAAAAAGGAGCCGATTCGTCATCTAGCCGACTTATTTTTAGACGCGAGCGTTCTCCAGGTATTCGGAGCTCGGCTGAAACTCCGCGGATTTCTAGGATTCGCTTACATAGAAGGCCGCGTTAATTGACGCGTGACACCCGTTTCACGCGAACATACCTGCGTCGCGATGCACGCGTATGCGATACAGGTATTTATTATTACTATTATTATTGTTATTATTATTATTATTATTTATTGATAAACGGGATAAATTGACGATCACGGTAGTTTATACACAGAAGCAGGGCATTGTGCGCATTGTGTGCTCGCATCGGTGATCAAATCATGTACTCGACGTTCAAAGCTTTGTAAAGAACCGTGATGCGAATCGTCGGATTACGTAGGCCGCATTTACATTTAACGTTGCATACACGTGCAACGTGTACGATCCATGTGTGCATGCACAGTCTAGATCTAAGCGTCGCTGCCGGTGCGTAGCTATTGATCTGTCCAACCGAAGACGCGCGATCGATACGATTGTTAATCAGGTTAAAGATGAAACTTCGAGCCGCAATTTTTCTACGCTATGGCAACGTGCGTTGGTTGATCGCATAAAGTACTGCGGAGTAGGCTAGGTGTCCCAGTTTCCGTGCCCGTCCCAATTTCCGCGATTAAGAACGCGTCGAAGACGAAAAGTTTCATATACAAATTGACGATCTATATTTTTCTTTATCATGTTTACTCATCAACATGTGAGATTCAGGAAAAGGTATCAATATATATATGAAACATTTCTTTCTCTATATGTTTATTAATCTCAGGGGCACGGAAATTGGGACAGGCGCGGAAACTGGGACACCTACGCTATCCGTGATCGTCAAATGCCGCGCGATCGGCCGGATTTGTGCGCATAAAACGTTCGCGTGAAACGGGTCTAACGCGTAACGATTTTGTCGCCGCGAGTCGATTCGACTCCGAATTGAGTCGATTCTGTTCGGGACTCGTCCGTGCCCGGCGACGAGCCGCTAAATCATCGAAATCGGCGCGTTCTCGAATTTGCCGCGCGAGAGAAACGAGAAGCGTCTCGCGGCGGACCGAGACTCGGTTCCGGGATCCGGATACACGAGAACCGCGGCAAGTTTGCGTCGACCTTTTATGGGTTGAACTTACCTTGATGTCCAAATGGGCAATATTTCTCTCGTGGAGGTAGGCAAGTCCTTCTACTAGCTGTCTGACAAAGTGCACCACGTCACCTTCGAGGGGCACCAAATCGCCGTCGATGAGCGTCTGCAGATCGCCACCTGGAGCGCTGAAACGACAGAATTCCGAGATTTTCCGGGTCGTCCCGCTTATCTCCGTCGAGACAGGCGCGTTCCTCGTACTCACTATTCCATCACCAGGATGATCTCCTTGGGCGTCTCGTAGACGTCGTGCAATCGAACGACCCGCGGCGACTGCGAGCAGAGCGACAGCAGGGCGATCTCGTGCCTCAATTCGGCGCTGCAGTCCGCGTTGAATCTGCTCCTGGACGAGTATTTCGCTGCGTAGAGGATGCCGGTCGATCGCGACCTGCACCGGTACACTTTCGCCCATTGTCCGCTGCGAACAGAAATATATATTTTCAGTCGGTCGGCGGATCGGACGAACGGCGCGGCGCGGCGCGGCGGCGGCCATTGCCACACGACGCGGTCGCATAAAAGACGAAAGCAACCACGAAATTTCGCTGACCGTCAGCGTGATTTTTACGATCGTAGCGGAGGATTCCGTGCGTCTCCTCGGCAAGGTCGACGCCGCGGCGCCTCCGAAGGCTACGCCCGCAACACGAAGCGGCCGTTTTTACGCGCCTTTTGCCTCCGCGAGTATTTCCTACGTGTGCGCGTACGCCGGAGTTTATTACGCAAACGTCCCACGCGAGCACTGGGCTTCTTCTTCTTCGTCGTCGTCGTCGTCGTTCTCGAAAGATTCGAAGTCGATCGCGGGGGGACTTACTGGCCGATCCAGGGACCCATCGCCGCGCCGCGCCGCGCCGCCGGACGCGGCGGTGTCGACGTCCTGTGAACGTTCACGGACGAAACAAGATAACCGAGCCACTCGTAAAGAGTATCCGATAGCGCGTGCAATTAACTCGAGTCGTCGAATCAGCGGACGGGCGGAGCGGTGAGCGGCGAGCGGAGAACAGCCCGGCGTCCCTCACCCTCCCTCGCGCAAAAGTATTAGGTCGAGGCGCAAGTTCGAGCCGTTCGACGTTTCCGTTTTTTTTCTAAACAGGGCAGATGTCCCAGTTTCCGAGCTTGTCGCTATATTCGTGCAATCTTATTAAAAACGCATAGAAAAAGAAAAGTTTTTTTATACGAATTGATATCTTTCCCCGAATCTTGCAGGTTGATAGGTGAACATGATCAAAGAAAATAGATCTTCAATTTATACAGGATGTCGCATAATTATATTTCCGTGAAATGTGGGATTCTTGAGGTCATTTCAAGTAACTTTTTCCTTAGCGAAAATGCAATCCGCGGCTTCGTTTACGAGTTATTAACGAAAAACACTGACCAATGCGAGGCGAGCGCGGCTGGCGTTTGGCGGCCGAGCCAATGAGCGGTCGAAGCGGCCGCCTCGCGCCAGCTGACAGCCCGCCTCTCGCCTCTCATTGGTCACTGTGTTTTGTTAATAACTCGTGAACAAAGCTGCTTACTAAAATTTCGCTGAGGAAAAAGTTTCTCGAAATGACTTCAGGAACCTCCCATTTCCCGGAGGCAACATAATTACGGGACACCCTGTATAAAAAACTACTTTTCCGCTTCCAATCCGAGGGCACAAAAACTGGGACATCTACCCTATCCACATAATTTTGTTATGATCAGAATTTCAGACATCTCGTCGGTTGAACGTCCAAAAAGTGCTCGTTCTTCGAGACAAAAATATCTTTCTCGAAATCAATCGAACATGTCGCAAAAAATGCAAACATTCGTGATACGAACATATAATTCGTCCTAATAATTATCGCAAGATCATCGCCGCGCGTCTGTGCGAGACGATTCCGGCGATCCTCGAAAAACTCTTCGAAGCTGCGCGAAGTTGTTGTCGCGGAGATCGCCGTTCGTTGGAAGCGCGGCCTCAGCTCCGTGCCGCGCGATACATGCCTAATGTATGAAAATTTATTGGCGTCGTTCCTGGCCATTTTGATCGACCCCCACCCTCGCCGCCCCCGCGACATCGAGCAATTAACCGCGGCCGCGATCGATCCGAATAGCCGTTCGTCGGATGAACGTCGATCGGAGCTGGTCTCGCGCGGGTTCCGCGCGGCGCGGCCGTGTTTGGTCCGCGAATGTGCTCGCTAACGAGCGCGGCCGAGCAAAAAGACCCGTTGGAAATTGCGAATTCGAAGCGGAACCGAGACCGCGATACACCAGGAAGGCGAGGCGGTCGCTCGCGCGGCGTCCGGCCGGCCGGTCGGCCGAGATGAAAACGGCGTCTTTGTGCCGTCGGTTAAATCCGCTTCATTAAGGATGCAAAGTCACCGAGGGCNTCCGCGGCTTCGTTTACGAGTTATTAACGAAAAACACTGACCAATGCGAGGCGAGCGCGGCTGGCGTTTGGCGGCCGAGCCAATGAGCGGTCGAAGCGGCCGCCTCGCGCCAGCTGACAGCCCGCCTCTCGCCTCTCATTGGTCACTGTGTTTTGTTAATAACTCGTGAACAAAGCTGCTTACTAAAATTTCGCTGAGGAAAAAGTTTCTCGAAATGACTTCAGGAACCTCCCATTTCCCGGAGGCAACATAATTACGGGACACCCTGTATAAAAAACTACTTTTCCGCTTCCAATCCGAGGGCACAAAAACTGGGACATCTACCCTATCCACATAATTTTGTTATGATCAGAATTTCAGACATCTCGTCGGTTGAACGTCCAAAAAGTGCTCGTTCTTCGAGACAAAAATATCTTTCTCGAAATCAATCGAACATGTCGCAAAAAATGCAAACATTCGTGATACGAACATATAATTCGTCCTAATAATTATCGCAAGATCATCGCCGCGCGTCTGTGCGAGACGATTCCGGCGATCCTCGAAAAACTCTTCGAAGCTGCGCGAAGTTGTTGTCGCGGAGATCGCCGTTCGTTGGAAGCGCGGCCTCAGCTCCGTGCCGCGCGATACATGCCTAATGTATGAAAATTTATTGGCGTCGTTCCTGGCCATTTTGATCGACCCCCACCCTCGCCGCCCCCGCGACATCGAGCAATTAACCGCGGCCGCGATCGATCCGAATAGCCGTTCGTCGGATGAACGTCGATCGGAGCTGGTCTCGCGCGGGTTCCGCGCGGCGCGGCCGTGTTTGGTCCGCGAATGTGCTCGCTAACGAGCGCGGCCGAGCAAAAAGACCCGTTGGAAATTGCGAATTCGAAGCGGAACCGAGACCGCGATACACCAGGAAGGCGAGGCGGTCGCTCGCGCGGCGTCCGGCCGGCCGGTCGGCCGAGATGAAAACGGCGTCTTTGTGCCGTCGGTTAAATCCGCTTCATTAAGGATGCAAAGTCACCGAGGGCGGGAATCGCGGCGGCGATATCGAGCGCCGAAAGAGGATTATCGCAGCTCGAGATACCGTCGTTATCGAACCTTCCATTAAACGTATCGGAGCGAAGTCGGTTCACGGAACCGCGGCGCAGCCGCGAGCAAGATTAATCTATCGGTCCCGAGGACTTACTTTGCGAACGGCTTCGGGTCGATCTCGTAGTGCTCCGAAATGGGGCCCGTCTTCACCACCCTGGCGAGCTGGGTCTCCTGCACGAGCACCAGGCCCTCCTTCACGTGCTTCTCGCTCCACTGCACCCTGCACCGGCCCCTGCACCGATCCTCGTTCCCGGTCCTGTCGCTCCCGCGCTTCGCCTTCGCGTTCACGCACTTGCCCGACGAGGCCTGCAGGCTCCGTCGCTGGGGTCGCGGCGAGGTTTTCCTCGCGGACGACATCGTCGGCGTCTGGTGGTTCGGCTGGTAGATCATGGTCGGCTCTATCCGAGCGGCCGTGGGTCCGTTCGAGTGGCTGTCAGCGATCGCGACCGGTCACATCGGAGCGAGCAAGTCCGAGGGCATCGGCGGACGGTCCCAGCAGATCTCCCGCAGGTTTCTCGCTGACTTTCGCGCAGATTTCTTTCAGGATCGCAGCAACCGATCGATCGCGGCCGTTCCTCGACGGCCGACTCGGGATCCTCAGCGAAAGTAGCGTGGCTCGTCAGAAGCTCGTCGGTCGGAGGGACGACGCGTCGCTGCTCGGTTCGGTCCGCTCGTGCGAAAATGCGGGCGACGATGTTCGCATCTCGAGGCGGTCGCCGTTCGCTCTTTCGAAGAGGTCCCCGCGAGCCTGACGGTCGGGTGCCGCGACTGAAACTGGCCACGAGAGACCACACGCTCCGGCTCCGGCTTCGGCTCCGTTTCAACTCGCGCTCCTCTTTTCTTTCTTGCCGCGGAGTCGCTGGACCATAGACTACCGTTCGTCTCGTTTTCTCCACGGTGTCCACTTTGCTCTCGCTCGTCCCTCCGACCTCTCTCGCCTCCGCCAGCCGCGGAGCAGCGTCGCGCCGTGTTCTCCTCTTGCCGATCTCGCTCTCGTGTCGCCTGTCCCACTCCTTCTCTCCTCGAGAGTGGACACGAGGCGAGCACGATCGTCGTTGTTGCTGCTGCTGCTGCTGTTGCTCCTGCTGCTGCCATAGCTGCCATAGCTGGTTTTAGCGGTGTTTACCGCGGTGGTGGTGGTGGTGCACGCCGAACACCGCTGCATCTCGGACGTAGGTGGTATGCGGTCGAGAACGCGCCGCGATCGCGGCATAGATGCACGACCGCCCCGCTGCACCGCGCGCTGCAGCCGGTGCATCGGGCCTATATCCCTCCCCTCTTACAAAAGTATTAGAACACCTGCTTGTTTAGAGGAAATTGTAATATTTCCTTCGGTTTTGGTAACGTCCGCGGATCTGCAATATTGTCGAAAGTATTGTCGTATTGTCGAAAGTATATGTTGAGACACGAGTGTTTGTCATTTGTGCTGTTAGTTTATTCAGTTATTGCATTTTGGTCGTTGAAAATGTATCCTGAGTCCGTTCCGTACTCTTCGCTCGATACGACATGCATCGATTCCCGGTGTGTTTTCTTCAATTCTGTTGGTTTACACAATCGTGTTGGACTCGTGATGGAGTTTCTGAACAGAGTTTGGTAAATATGTATGTTATTTACATTGTTCGTTCAGACCGAAATAATGTCCTATTTTGTTGGGGTTAATGTGCAGCCATTGGGGAACATATTGGCGTACGATAGTTGTCAATTTTGATGTTCTTCTAACAAGTTATGAACTACGATTATTGCTGCAATTTTGAAAGAAATCGTAGTGCAAGGGGTTAATACGTGGGATTATTATGCATTTCTACGAAATGCACGGAGCCGAAAAGTATCAGAAATAATCGAGAAACTAATAAAACGGATGCCGAAATTGGTTCAAGTTGTAATTACAAAATGCGGTGGATATATCGACCAAAAAGAACGTTTAATTTTTTTTTCATAAAATTGACGATATTTTTATTATAACATAAACTATATATGTACAGTGGCGTGCATAATTATAGACTCAAAGTAACTTTTACATTGCTACCGACATCTAAACAAAAACTTAACAAAATATCCTCTTTGTATATTTCTATTTTCTATTGTTTCTAATATAGGAATATACAAATATAATGTTTTGTTACATGATTTTTAAATATATACGGTGTTTCAGTTAATGGAGACCACCTACAGTGTTGGGAATATTTATAAACTCAAGGTGACTTCTTCTTTATTCATTATATTATATTACACTTATTTATTATATTATATTATATTGTATTTATTTATTATATATATATAATATTTATTTATTGTATTATATTATATTATATTTTCTATTATATTTTTATTATCATAAAAATGCTATATTATACAGTGTTTTGTTGAGCGTTCGTTCAAGTGTCACAAAAAATTTAAAAGTTACTTCGAGTCTACAATTATTCACTTACAATTTAATATAATAAAGTCAGAAATAAATTTTTAAAAAAATTAGAGCAATTTGTCATCGATTTTTCATATTTATTGAATTATCTTTAACTGGCCTAGTACTTTATTTCGGGGAATGTGAAAGGGTGTACGTATGCACGTCCTGGTGACAGCAACGAGTTGCTTCCTTCCCGGGTCCTATTCTCGCTGTCGTATCCGTCCGCGGCGGCCGGATACGCGAGGATCGCGGATGCGAGCGATTTCGCTCTCCATTCTAGATCCCGCGTCGCGGTAGTAGAGCCAGATATGAACGGCAATATGTTAATGGGCGCGTGGGGTTTTACCTTCGAGATCTCCATGCCCGATTATATCGCTTCTTGGAAACCAGTCTAACCGTCGATCTCGATTCGAACGACGTACGGAGCTCTTGCATCCCGTGCCAGGTGTCTTGCCTGACCGAGCGAGAAGCATCGCTGGAAAACCGATTGCGTTCTCCAATCTGTTCTCGGCGGCCGAAGATTAACAAGCACGTGGGAAACAGAGATTCCGCGTTCGCTCGCCGCCGCTATTACAGATATCTCGACCGCAAAAACGACAAGGATGCTCGGCCGTCCGTCAAAAGGAAACACAAAGGTCTTTCCTGATCGAGTCGTCTCTAAGGAGAAATCGATTAGAGCGTGGCCGCTCCGGAGAAAGAGAGAAACAAAAGAGGGAAGAGGGGAGAGGGAGAGCGTGAGAAAAGAGGGGAGCGAGAGAGAGAGGAAAAAGGAGACAGAGAGAAAAGACGAGAGAGAGAGAAAAAAGGAGAGAAAGAGAAAAGAGGGAGAAGAAAGAGGGGAGAGGGTGAGAGAGAAAACAGAGGGGACAGAGAGAAGAAGAGGGAAAAGAGTGAGAGAGAGAGAGAGCAGAGGCGAGAGAGAGAGGAAGAGAGAGAGCAGAGGGGAGAGAGAGATGAAGAGAGAGAGCAGAGGGGAGAGAGAGAGGAAGAGAGAGAAAAATAAGAGAGAGAGGAAGAGAGAGAGAAGAAAAGAGGAGAGAGAGAGACGAAGAGAGAGAGAAAAGAAGGGAGACAGAGAGAGAGAGAGGAAAAGAGGAGAGAGAGAGAAGAAGAGAGAGAGAAAAGAAGGGAGATAGAGAGAGAGGGGAAAAGAGGAGAGAGAGAAAAGAAGGGAGACAGAGTGATAAAGGAAAAGAGGGGAGAGAGAGGGAGAGCGAGAGAGAAAAGCGGCGAGAAAGAGAGAGAAAAGAGGGGGGGAGACAGTGGAATGGACGCATGTTCAGCTCGGTCCACCCGTTAGCGAGAAGAAATGACTCGTCGCCGCGAATTTAGCCGGGTCTCGGTCAGCCGATTACGCGGCGCGAATGATCCCTCGCCGATAGAGAACGAGCTCTCTCGCGCGCACCTGCGTATTGCGAATTACGAATTCGTGGAAGATCGATCCCCGGAGTATATCGGCTGTCGCGCGTTGCGAACCGTACGTGCAAGTATCCGCGATACGGGACGAAGTCATGAGGCGAGAGCGGTGACAAGCAATTAGTAGCGACAATTAGTAACGACGCGTTCGAGTCGGATCGTGCCAAGGATAATTGCGCGCTTATCCGCCGCGGCTCGTCTACTTTCAATGACGAACTGGCAAACACTTTTTTGCGGCACCCCGTGACGTTCACCTTCGCCGCGCGAAAAGAAAATGTCCTCCCGCGGCGCTGGTCGACAGCTACGCGATAATAGAGTGCCGCGAATAGTCGCGGACAATCGCGAATAATCGCGAATGATCGCGAAAATTCGAACTGGATCCGTAAGCATAGATCCGCGCTCGCGCGCGCTCGTGAGAATCCGTTGTAAACCCGATGAACCGATCGGCGCGCGAGGTCGTCGCTTTTCTCCCATTCGAAATCAATTACATACAGACCCGACGCGACGTCGATTCGACGTTCCCGCGCGGGAACGCAACGCGGCGAATGATTTCTCTTTATAGGACTACCGGCAGGTGCAATAAATTCGATCCGCGCGTCATCCGGTGACTTTGATGGCTCGTTATTCGCGGCAACGTCCTCGAAACGGATGCGAGCCCGCGATCGAGCCGGTACGTCTCACTTCGAGGCGAATCTCAGCGGGATTGGATTCCAGCGAGACAAGAGGCGTCACGGGTATATTAGCCTGCGAGCTTTTTTTTTTAATCAACGCGCGAGAACAATGGCCGGGGGGACGACGACGCGGACGTCGTCGCGGTGTCTCTCGAGACTAGTCCGATCGCGCACAGTCGTCTCGCCAGGAAGCGTTCCATCGCCGAAATTCAAATTTCTTAAGTTTAACATACTGAATAAATTTGTTTAGTACAGGTAACTGTCCTATAACACGGTAAATAAGTTCCTAGAAAGTGCCGTGTTGTGCGAAACGTGTCATATGCGACCCAGGGTCAGTACAAAAAGGGGGGGGGGGGAGAGTTAAGTGCCGAAAACATATTAAAAACAGACATTTTCTTTCAATTTCGTATAAGCAACTTAGCTTTGATTAAAAATATAAATGAATGTATAATACAGAATGAAAGAAAAAAGAAAAAATATTATTTTTATTTAATGTAGCAACGAGAATGTTTTTTCGGTTGAACGGCATCGCCATCACTTTCTGAACCTTCTCTTTCGTTCAGATTGTTATACACTGAGGATCCTTTAAAGCTTAATCGTTTTAGATGATTTGTGCTGAGAGATGGTGTCCTAAATGTAAAATCATAAAATTCAAAGTAAATTAAATTCTCCCGAATTTTCCTTCAGCTTGTAAAGAAAAATGTATAATTCGCAGCTCATTGTTACAGTTGCCGATTGTCGACGATTATGAAAGCGAGGTGCAAGGCTCGAATAATCGTATCTCCTCTTCCCAAATTATCCACTTTTGTTTACAAGCTCAAGAAAATCAGGGAGAATTTACTGTACAATGAAACGTTTAAAACAGCGAGAATAGAATGTTATTAGGTCGAGTTATAAGTAACTTTCGATGCAGCTAGGTAGAAACTATTGTTCTGTGTCTACTCACTATGAGTCACGAGTTTTTTCTTTTACTAAATAAATAAGAGCTCAAAATAAACGGAATAAAAAAGCGAGAAAAATAAATAGGAAACAAAAAGAAACAAAATGAATGTCTGACAAGAAAACATAAGTTATTTATGATAATATTTATGATACTTGAATTATTTAATTTAGTAATTCATATACACGAACAGCGTTAAACTAACAATTCAAATTGTGAGAAGAGTTTAGAAGGCAGTATGAGTTATAAAATAATCTTTTTAATATGAATGCTTACACAATTGCTAAGAGAAGAGGATAATATCAAGTTTAGGTGCAATTAACTTGCAATAATTGCAAAATAGTTAATTTGCAAAATAATTTTAACAAATAGATATCAATGGTATTTCAATACTGAATAAGCAGTTAAAAAATTAAGCACCGAATATTAACTCGAAAAATTCTCACGATATCAAAGTCATTTAATTAATGACATCGAAACTAGAAATTGAAAATTTACCGTAGGAAATAAATATTTTGTATTCTATAAATCCTAGTAACACTCAATTTGTTCAATATATTACAATAAAAATGAATTTCAGAAACCTAGTTAAAAATTAGTGTCACCCATACGTGACTCACGTGACACTGAACATGTTAACACTTTAATGGCCACTCACACACATGTGTGCGATGCTTTAATAATTCTGCACGTGATTGCTAGAATAATTATCACACAAAGGAAAAATATTAAATTCATTGTATTAAATGTGTTCTTACTGTTGTTGCTTTTTGTTTTGTTTTATGTGTACGTTCGCACATGTTGAATTATTTCATGAATTTACATAAATATTGCCGGCCACTGACGACATTTAACTGCGTAGACGTGCGGCCATTAAAGTGTTGAGAAGTAAGCGTGCTCGTCACTGAACAAAGTTGGCCAGTATTCACTTTTCTACAAATTAAAATATCAAAATTTGCCAAACAATATTCTTGTCATAAAATATGCTGGTCACCTTGTGTTTTTAAATGTCAAATCTTCCTCAGTCGCAGCTATTTTAATCCAAAATATGTTTCCTGATCTATAGTACTTCCATTCTATACGATTTATTGCAATTATGCACATAAAATTCAGCCTATTGGCAAGTAAAATACTTGAAGTTGTAAAAGTTCTTTAAACACAAACAAATCTGACACTGTTACGATTATTTTGAAGAATGGTAAAGCAATGTTGAGTCACCACAGAAGTGCAAAGGGTTAACTATTTGTGGCACAGTATTTCAGAAAATAAAATAGACCCATGTTGCACAGAAATATTGCGTTTTAAATGAAACAAAATTGGTATATTTTTATTGACGAAAGAATCACATGATATAAAAACATACAAAAATAATAATAGCTCAATTCGATTTATTGTTATAGGATGCGACTCAAATAATCCCACCGTGTCAGATGGGTTAACGAATGCACATGCAGCTATTGCAATATTTTGACTATAGTGCTTCTAAAAATACCCCACCATGCATTATCGTGCATAAAAAAAAAATGGGACATTTTTAATCCCACCATGCCCCAAAGAGTATAGAAAATATGAATATGAAGAGTATAGAAAATATGTATATTTTCGACTCGACTTTGACTCGATTCCAGCTGGTTTCGCCGCGAATTCAACGACCTCCTCTTCTCTACCGCAATCTTATACCTTGAAACAACGCTAAAATCATTTTGGTCGTAGAAAGCGGATTCCCAGATCGCCGTGGATCGCTGAAACTCGTTAGGTCCGCGAACCGTGTATTATTTGCACAACGATGGAGGCGCGCTCGCACGCACGCACGCACGCATGCATGCATGCCAGCGTCCGCGGAGAATGCAAATCACCGACTACCATAAAGGAGGGTATGATGTGTGAGGGGGGTATGATGCACTGGTTGCTCGCAACGCGCGGCTCTCTCGCGGCACGCACGTGCAGGTTCGCCACGATTTACGATCCAAGAATTAGACACAATAGGAACGACCGGCTCGCGTCTAATAACCGAGTTACGGCCATACTCGGCGCTCGATTAATGCCCACTGTCTCGGCGTATCGCTCGAATTTGCAAGTTTCGCGTCCGAAAAGGCCTCGCCGCCACTTATCTCGGGCCATCGTTAGGCCATTTTTCTTTCCGAAAGCCTCGAAAGCCCCTTGATTGAAGCTTCCTCTACCCGTCGGCCTCGAGCGGCCCGAGGCAAAGAGATCTTGTCGCGTCCTAGGAAGTCCTCTATCGGGAAACTGTTTCGAACGGCCGACGAGAGGGACGAAGAGCGACTCTCCCGATTCTCCTACGACTCTCATCGGCGCCTAGGAGTTGCCGAATCGACGCCCGCGAGGCTCTCGTCAGCGGCCGCCGAGGCCGAACGGGTGGAGCTCGCGCCTTCGAACGATAGTTCGTTAATTAGCGCGTAGGTCAAGGCGCGATCCGCGGTGCCGCGACGGCTGGAAAAAGCGGCCGGCCGGCCAACATTAAACGGCCGCCGACAAAAGCGGCGTCGCCTCTAATTACAGGCCGCCGCGATTCCATCTTTGTGCGCGCCACTTTTGCGAAATCGGACGTGGCACGTCGATCGCGCGTCGGCGACGTCTACCCTTGACCGACACCGAAATTCCATGGCGAAGTTCTCGGCGCGGGTGATCTCTGTTTCGGCTCTCGCGGATCCAGTTTCGGCTGCTCCTTCACTTACCCGTTTCAGGCGCCGCGCGGACCGAAGCGGATCGTCGCGCGATCCGCGAGCGTCGCGTCTCCCAGTCGCAGCTCGGATTAGAACGGGGATTAGCGCGGCGCGGAGAGCTTTTGTCTCGGCAGGAAATCTCGACGGTGAATCATCGGTTCACCTGGCCGCTATTAATACTGCCGTCTATTTATAGGATGAAAAGAAAACCGACGTTCTTGGGAAAACGTGGCTTCCCCGTGTATGGGGAGAACTCGGGCCCGAGCGGCGCGAATTCCGCGCCGCGGCGCGGGCGCGATCGTTTCGCGATCGGCTTCGAACCGAGGGAGACCAACAACCACCATTGGCGTCGATTGTAATCTGCGGCTTTTATTTCGCACGTTATTCAAATTAATACAGTATGACAGAAGTATTTACAGAAGATTTTTGACAGCCATACATGCGCGATTGTTCTGATCGTAATTAACCTCGGTATTAATAACATTACAGCGATAACGTAATAGCGATGATAATAATAATAATAATAATAATTAATAATAATAATAGCAATAATAATAATAAAAATAATGATAATAAAAATAAACATAATAATAATAATAATAATCATTGTGATATAATAATGATGATAGTTGAATAAATCGGAGAGCAAGGCGTGCACGAGTATGGGAATCGCCAGGACACCGTGTGCAACCTCGATTATCCGAAGCCCCGACATTTGGATTCCGTGCACGAGGATATGTTTCAGACTTAGATTGTTCAATCTACGGTGGTCCATACGCAACGTTACGACTTTATTGTACAGATCGGTCGGCGCTTAGTTTTACACAGCAACTAAGGATTCGTTCTGTCATCCGATACGTTCATGTCGTCCTGATCGTTTCGGATAATCGAGGCAATCTTTCTCTCTCTCTCTCTCTTTCTTTCATTTATATTCGACGGATCGAGGATTGTCGGACAGATATTCAAGAGACACAGTGGTGACGCGCGTCACTGCCCTACGAGGCCCTCGACGTACGAAATAAACGCCGCGGAATATCGTTGTCGCGGTCGCGAACTAGATCGAGCAAGTTCTTGAAACATCGATCACGATGTCGGGAAGAACAATCGAACGAGAATAAATAACTACGGATTGGCCTCGGATCGGGGCGCGGGTTGAACCGACACGCTCGGACGCACGCCCTCCTCTACCGTAGTAGCAAAACTATAATATATATTACAGGTCTCTCTATTGGGTTTTTTCTTCCTTTGATTCTCGAAGGCATTCATGGATTCACGCGGCCCCACGCACTCGCTCGCTCGCTCGCTCGCTTGCTCGTTCTCCCTGCTTCCCGCAGACTCATTCGCTCGTTTGTGCGCACACCCAGCGTTACAGGAAAAGAGAAGGTACAGAAACAAAACTGCGGTTTTCCGTCGTAACGTTTCCGTCCTCGTTTCCGTCGTCGTGCGGGTTGGACTACTCCCCGTGTGCGTCTCAGAATTTCAACGGACGAACGCTCGCAACAATGTTCCCGGCTAGAAATTCGTTGGCAGTCCCTCGATCCACGAGGCTGAAAACTCTACGAAGAGAAGAAACGGCCCGAAACGAATCGCCGCGACCGTGGCTTTTCCCCCGAAATTGATATCTTTTCTGTTGTTCCGCGCGATCGCGTCTAGTTAAGGAAACGAGTCTTCCACGCATTTGTCCCGTCTTCGCGCGCGTTCCCAAATAGCGTGCACGGGTTACATACATACATACATGGAAAATCTCGAATCGTTTTTCTTTTTCGGCCGCGACGCGCGCGATTCGTCGTTTCGTTCGCGTGTGCTCGTTTCGCCTCCTCGAATCCTTCGCGTTCGCCGACGGAAAACCGATTCAAGGAGGGGAACGATGAGCAACGTGTATTGACTAGCATTCACGAAGCGCTCCCTTCGGCCTACGAAGTTGGCACTTCACAAGAAGATGTTTCGTTAAACGTTCGTCCTGTCGCTTCGGCGACGCGGACGTTCGAAAAGCTAATGTGTGTCTCTCTCTCTCTCCCTCTCACTCTACCTTTCTCTCCCTCATTCTCTCTCTCTCTCTTTCTCCCTTTCTCTCTCTCTGTATACGTATATGTATATGTAGATATTTATATTCCTATGCGTTTGATTCACGGAGTGAAAAATACCGCGATACGTCGTTGTTCGACGAGCGAGCAGTTGCAGCGGTTCCATAGTCGCTAGTAAGACACGTCTCCGGATATGTTTCTCATTGGCTAAATCAGTTCGATAGAAAACGAAAAAAAAGAAAAGAAAGCGGTCGATTCGTCGGGAAGGAGTGATAATGTTATTCCGTACGCGCCGCGACACGAGGGTTCCGAAAAGTTGTCGAACAACGGTCGTTTCGTTGTAGCCGATAGAACTCGCGATTACTAATTACGACACCCCCTCTCGCGGGAGATGCTGTCGAACCAACGAGAAAAAAATTGGAGACGCCTAACGCCGGTTTAGGCTCTCAATTTCGACCGATCGATCGGCGCCGCGATCTCCGTGTGTCAGAGCTAAGGCACTGTGCGCGAACCGGAGAGCGATCGTTTTCACTCTGCTCGTTCGTCGAGGCGTTCCTCTCGCGGACAGAGAAACGGAGATTAGGCACTACGGTTTACTGTGTTAAAGGCACCGAAAAGTCATCGAAATTCGATCTCCGCGAGGTCCACGCGGCGAACGCGGGCCCTCCCCCAAGCAGTTCCCCGTGTCCCCTAGCTCTACAACTCGATTATGGCTAGTTTCCGGCGAATCGTTTCGTCGACACCGAGTCGCGCGCGCGCGTGCGGAGATCCCGTTCGATTTTCTCGGGCGATCCGGCCACGCGACGATCTACTCTGGAATTCACAGACAGGGTCCTCCTGACATATGCCTGACATTTCTCGCTTGCGCAACGATCCGATCGCCTGAAATTCCGCGGCGCGAACGCCGAAGCCGCGCGCGACCGTTTTCCGCGAGCGACTCGGTGCATCGAGCGTTCCGACCCGCGCGTTCCCATTTCAGTTTCTTTCAGCTCGAAAGGACGGCCGGTCAGTCTATCGTTAATGGCAGACGACGAGCTGCCAGATTACGCGCGTCTCTTCGCGCCCTGTCGCGTCCGAAATCGCTCCGTCGCGTCGCTCTCGAATCCCCATCCCCCCTCCCTCCCCCGTCCACCCACGAACCGGACTTCTCGTATGTACAAACGTGGAGCACAACGATCATCCGTCCATTCTCTCGCGCGCTGTCTCCGCCGAAACGGGACTCGTCCGGACTCGATCGGAACATCTCCATCCGAATATATACAAACGCGAACACGATCGGCACACCCGCCACCCAGCCACCCACCCATACATACGAACACGGACGCGCTCACGTACACACGTACACATACACACATACCTATTTACAAGCGTTTCCCCGACGTTTCACCGGGTACAACCGATATTACAACGAGTCGAAACGGAAGGAACGGCTCCTCTAGGAAGATCGGCTTTTTTCCCCGGAGAGAGAAACGTTTCGTCTTCCGCGTACTTTGGCACGGTCTCTCCGCGTACCGCCCGCTCCGTGGTCTGGACGACGCGGGTCGCGTCGACTGGTTGCAACGCGTACCATCCGACTATACACTGTACACCGTGCGAGAACTATGTACAACGAGGCCGAGAACCGAAATTCGGGACGTGTCGCTAGTCCCCGTCCGTCCGGGTCTACGACGCCCCGTGGACCTGGAACCGGCGAATCCGTGCCTGCACCGACTCGCACTGCACTTCGCTGTACCTGGTGTACCTGCCGGCCCTGACCGGCTCGCGGATCACCACCAGGTTACCGCCGCGTTCGCGGAGCGCCTCGAGCCCGGTTTTCCCGTGGACCGTCGGCGGGCTCGAGAGCTTCGCGATCTTCGCGTTCGAGTTTTCGGACGTGAACCGGCTGAGCGCCTTGCTGACGACGCCGTTGCACTCCCTGGGCCACGCCCTCGCGTGCTGCTGTTGCTGGTGGTTGTGGTGGTGGTGCCTCTGCTCCCATCTGTCCGAAGAGGCGTCGGTCGCCGTGAACGGGAAACTCGCTCGGCCCTGGCTCTTGCCGAACATCAGAAAATCCAGCGAGTCGTCCGAGTAGATGCTGCTCCGGTCGCTCGAGCTGTCCGTCGAGATCTCCGAGACGGTGTCGCTGCCGCTGTCGCTGCACTGTTGCTCCTCGCCTAGGATGAACACCGGCGTGCATTTGAAGACCTCGCCGGCCGGCATCGTGTGGGTCGCCGTCGCTCTCCTCTGCGTGACCACGGTGGTGGTCACGGTGGCGGCGTTGCTCGCCGCGCTCGTCCGGATCGACGAGGCCGGCTCGATTATCACGATCTCCGCGCCGGAAAATTTCTGCGCCAGCGAGTCCATGTTCCTCTTGAAGGTGTCCCTGCGGTCGGGGCTCAGGCCGTACCGCGTCGATTTCGTCGACAGCTTCGATTTCGTGTACAAGTTCTCCGTGTGCGAGGAGACGGCCCTGGTCGCCGACGTCGTCGACGTCGTTGTCGTCGTTGTCGTCGTCGATTTCGACTCCGCGGCCTGGTACACGCCGCCCGTGGTCGACGACCTCTGCGCGTGCTTCTCGGCGTCGTTCTTCGGCGGCGACGTTATCGCGCTCGACTGCTCCGTCGCTGTTCCGGGTTTCACCGGGGACTTTGTCTCCTGGGAGGACGCGGTCGTTTTCGCTGTCTCCGGAACCGACTGATCCAAGGCCGCGGATAATGGCGGCTGCGGATCGTCGAACGTGCTGAACCACGGGTGCTGGAGGCATTCGATGACTGTTAGGCGTTCACTGGAAGGAAAGAAGATCGATCAGACGTCGTTCGGGATTTCCGGCACCGACTGTCGGATCTCGCTTGTCTTTGGTAACGGTAACGAGCGGTTGCGCAACGCGGCCGGGCTGAAGAGAAAGGACAGGAAACGCGGCGCGACGCGGCGAGACGCACAGTGTTCCCGTTCAAAAATGGAAAAACCAATTTTCTGAAATTTCGTGTCTGCTTCCGTGGAATCGGTTGGAAACAATGTTCCCCGACGTGAGAACGAAAGACGGTCGAGAGAAGACACGCAACCCAACAACACGCAGTTAAGTATACGGTCGATAGCTTCGAAGTGAAATTTTGTTGTATTCGTTCCTTTTTTGTGAATAAGATAGAGGTGTTTTATTTTAGTTATTATTATTATTGTAGTTGTTATTGTATATATTTAGTTATTATATATTATTATTATTATAGTATATTATATATATATTTTCTTTTTGTTGAAAGTTTTAGTAATGGGAAAGTTACGATTATTCATACCGCATTACAATTTTACAAAGGAAACATCGATTTGTTTTACTTTCTTTTGTAATTAATTTCCTCTATTTCCTTTAATTTGGTATACGTTTGATCCGCTCCCGAGGACTCTTTCATGAAATATTTTATTTTTTAAAATCTGTCAGTGAAAATTAGAGTGCAGATTTTTATGCGAGATAGAAATTGTCTGCACGAATTCCAAGAAATAGAGAGTAAACAGCAAGTTCATGCTGTCATTAATCCTTTTCATAGATTGAAAATAATAGATTGACATTTCTTAATTCCCTTAATTTTTATAATATTTTAAATTGCAACTACCCAATTTTACCATAAACCCATAAAATAGTAATGATCTAAAAATTTGTAATGTAGATTATAACAGTAATAATCTACACAACTACACAATTTTGCCACAAATGCTTTAAATAGCAATAATCTAAGAAAACAGTAATCTAGATTATAATAGTAATAATCCAGTAAAAACAAAGTCACAAACTGTTAAGTGTTTTTAATTTAGATCATATGTCAAGAAATAAAAGATATTGTGAATAAAAATACGAACAAGTATTCCATGCCTGTTTCACTACACAAATTATTAGTACATGGACTGCACATTATGTCTATCTTCTTCTCTCACATCAATTGAACAGTTATCAGGGGAAGCATTAAAAGGAAGACATAAATACTAATAAAGATCTGATGATAGTGCTGCTTCTATTATCAGGTCCTTGCTTATCTCATTTCAGACAAAACATGCAGAACAAAAGGGAAGAATCAAACTATATTAGAGTATCGAATTTTGACTGATGTAGGACTTTCGAATTCTTTAAATTCAAACAGATAACGAAGCTACTAATAATGATAATCATGATAATTCAAAATATATTATCACTGCAGTTTATTTAAATATTATTTATTACCGATTGTTTCTTTCTTGTTATTTATGTTTGGATATATTTCAAAATGTATATATCACAAATGTATATATTACAACAATATTTTGAAAATTCTCTTCAATTGTCCCACAGCTTGTAAGCAAAAATATGATAATTTGGGAAGAAAAGGTGAAACTGAATCTCCTTGCAGTTCATTTTTATAGTCATAATAATAATTATCATAATTATATTTTTATAATATTATGATATAATAATATTATTATATTATATATTATAATATTGCTATATTATATATTATAATATTGCTATAATATTATATATTATAATATTGCTATAATATTATATATTATATTACTATAATATTATATATTATAATATTGCTATAATATTATATATTATAATATTGCTATAATATTATATATTATAATATTACTATAATATTATATATTATATCATAATATTATAAAATAATAATAATCATATCACTATTTCCCAAATTGTCCATTTTTGTCTACAAGCTGAGAGACAATTAGAGAGAATTTACTATATTACACACAAATAACGTCAATAATTAAAATTGAATATAAATAGAACGCTAATAATATCGAAGCGTGATACTTTTAAATGAAAATTGATTTTTGATCGTTTCCATCAACATACTCGTTACACTGTGCGACGCCGAGGGCATGCAGTGGTTTCAGAAGGACCGGAGGAAACGAGCGAGCGAAAAGGGAGCGAGCGCGATGCGGGTATACACGCGACGATAAACCGCGCCCGCGACAAGATAAGTCGAACGTCGAGCTGGAAGGGCGCGATGGGGATATTCCGGATGGAGACTTCCTTCCAGCTGTCCGACTGGTCGACGATAAGGAAATCTACGAGTTTTTCAGCGGAACTCGTTCCGCGCGTCGACGTCCCTCTTCCCGTTTCGAAGAAAGTCGTCGCGCGCTGGAATGTCGATCGTTTCGCTTCCACGTAAGCGCGCCGTCGATGCAGGAAGTTGGACGATCTCGGGTTTCGAGAGTTCCCCGTCACGGGGACGATCGAGCTGCTCCGAAATTCGGTCTCCGTTCGCCAACGCGAACAACGAGGCTCGGCCGTGGCATTATCGGAGAAGACGTTACCGAGAATTCCGACGCTGCACAGCGGTACCCAGGTAATCGCGCTTTTCATGGCAGAAATTATTTTCGCGTCGTTTCATAGTGTAGCAGGCCGTTGAATTCGTCTCGGAATCAGCTATGATAATTTTAAGAAGTCAAAAATCTGTATTATTATTAACAAGATCGGAGCGACTGCAATTATTTGTAACAAAAATTTTGTTTTCGATATTCTAATGAATTAGAATTTGTAGAAGAATGAATACCGATGAACTTTTGTTCGAGACATTTTGTTGCCGGATCATCGGGCATGCGCGAAATATCGACGAACGTTTTAAATGCGAATTAAAATTCGCAGGCAAAAAGTTCCAGGAAATGATAACGAGATAAATGTAGACCTGAGGCACATTGAAATCCTATTTGAGGATGCTCGGAAGTTTTTAATAAAAATTATTTGGCGTAAGTGGAACCACGAACTCAGAGAAAGTATATTCTGTACTAACTCCCGCAAGTTAATTAACAGGAAGGAAGCAAATTGTACTATCTCGACTAAAAATTGGACATATTAAAATAACACACGAGTAGTACATACTCTCTAAAACAGACAAACCAATTTGTAACAATTGTAACACTGAGCTTACATTTAAGCACATACTAATTGAATGTCCGGTGTACAACAATATCAGAAAAAAAGTAAAAATGCTCAATATCATCAAAGAATGTTTGGACAACTACAAACAAACAGCAAAAATTATGTCATACTTAGAAGAAAGCAAATTGTTTAGCGAAATTATATAGTAACATAAGAAGTCTAGATTAAGAAAATAATGTAAAATGTAATTACTACATGTAACCTACAAATGTTATCCACAAGTGGTCGCTAATTGCTATTAAGCAGATGAGACATTAAATAAATAAATTTTTTTTAAAATGAACGTGTACATTATTGAAGATCTGAGCTTTCACGAAGATCAAGTCTGAAAGTAAGCTTTTAATTGCGACTTTTTAAAGCTCTTCTTAAAGTGTACATTGTACTTGACTTTATATTCCTCGTCCATTTATTGAAACACGCTTATATCGCCGCTGAATAATTGAAATATATTTGCTCACGCGTATGGAAATACAGCACAAAGCTTTTCAGCGTTGTGTAAGGAATAATTGAACTATCTATAATTTGAATTTCATATTTTTCCACTTAAAATTTGCTATACCTGCTCGGAGAGTTACCTGAAAGATCCAAAATTTCGAATCTCGAGCATTCAAGGGGTCCTTGTCTGAGAGAAAACAAAATATTGCAGAAACACGAAAGTCTAAAAGATCGAGTTAGGGTCATAAATTACCGGACCACTGTGCACTGGTTCGAATAATGCCTTCGAGGAAGCGTGTCGCGCGAACTACCGGGAACGTTTACGGCTACCTCGAAGCGAAAGAAGATAGGATAGGATAGGAGCCGCGCGGATCTCAGAAACATTGTTGGCCGGATCGCAGGCGTTAGCGTTATTTAGCTTCTAGGAACGAAAGCAATCCGTCGCGTTATGCGATGGACGCGCCGCCGTTGCATCGCCGCATTCCGATGACGGTGCCCGGACGGCGGCGAACGGTCGTCGCGGCTCGTCGCTGCGACCGATCGAGAAAAATGCCTATCGGGTTGCTTACTTTGGATCCTTGACCATCAGCTTGCGCATCAGATCCCGCGCGTCCTCCGACACGTCCTCGAACAGGTCGTCGGGAAAATCGAGTCGACATCGGCTGATGTTGCAGAACGTTTCCTGCTTCGTGTCGCCGCCGAACGGTGAGCATCCCGTTAAGAGGACGTACAGCAGCACTCCGACGGACCACATGTCGGTCGCCAGGCTGATCGGCTCGTAGTTTAAGACCTCCGGAGCTGAAACGGACCGTAACACGGGGATTCAATACGGAGCGGACGCGAGCGAGCCAGCCGATCGGTAGCAGAGATCGGTGGATCGGCCAGACTTTCTCGACCGTGGACGTCTGTGTCGGAGCTGCATTGCTTACCAACGTAATCTGGCGTTCCCAATATCTCGCGAATGTCCGCGCCGTGGCTGATGTACCGCGAGATCCCGAAATCGCAGAGCTTCACGTCGCACTCGGGAAAATCGCCGGTGAGGACCAGGTTCTGGGGCTGCAAAGAACAAGCAAGGTTTTATTATAATAATAATAACAATAAAGATGATAATAAAAATAACGACAATAATAACGACAATAAATAATATAACAATAATGATAACGATAATAATAACAATAAAATAGCAACAACAATAATAGCAATAAAATAATAATAACAACAATAATAATAATAATGATAGTTTATTCATCTGGTAAATTGTAAAAGAACGGCAATTGTAAAAGAGTATTTCCAAGTATAGGATGTATTTAATTGTAATTAAAAGTACGTAAACGAAAAGAAGAACAAACTGTAAGATGTAAAGAAGCCTTAACATTGTTAATGACATGTAAACGAAAATTTAACAAAATATCATACTTGTATATTTCTATATTAGAAATAATAGAAAATAGAAAAATGCAAATACGATGCCTTGTTAAGTGTCTTTTTAAAAATAAAAGGCGCCTCAGCTAAAGGAGATCACCTACAGTGCAACAAAAACAAAAAAAACTATATTTGTATATTTCTATATTTTTTCATAGTTGTATATTTCTATATTTTTTCATACTTGTATATTTCTATATTTTTTCATAATTGTATATTTCTATATTTTGTCATACTTGTATATTTCTATATTTTTTCATAGTTGTATATTTCTATATTTTGTCATACTTGTGTATTTCTATATTTTTTCATAGTTGTATATTTATATATTTTGTCATACTTGTATATTTTTATATTAGAAATAATAGAAAATGGAAACCCGCAAATACGATGTCTTGTTAAGTGTCCTTTAAAAAATAAAAGGTGCCTCAGCTAAAAGAGACCATTTGCAGTGCAACAAAAACAAAACTATATTTATATATTCGCATGTTCTATTATTTCTAATATTGAAACATACAAATTGCATGTTTTACTAAGCTTCTGTTTAAATATCGCTAAAAATGCAAAAGTTACTTCGAGCGTATAATTATTTCCATCACTGTATAGATATAAAAATCGAGATAGTAGAGTAGTAACAAAATTGCGTAAACTTCAATATTACATAGTAGCAGAAGGCTGCGAACACGTCCATAAAATCTGACATGGTCGCTGTATGAACAGCGGAGAAAAAGCGCCTAACGATCCCGAAAACTCGTTAACGCGAGTAATCATGCGGTTGATGCAATTCTGTTGACCGTATAGACGGTACGATGAAATTCTGTGCAGCAGAAATTCGATAGAAACGGTGTGGGATATTTTCTTCGACATAAGTCAGAGAGCAATAAAAAAAAGATTATACCGTATTAACAATTTTTAAAATATTTCGCGATGTTCCATAAATGAAACAAAGCGATCCGTATGCAATACTAATAACCAGACTGCGGATTCTTATGCAAAATAAAAATTGCCATCATTAACCGCAAGATGCAGGGACTACGTCAGAGGTGTCAGGGGTGTCAAATAATTTAACTTTATATATGTTTATTACAATGTACTAAATACTAAGTACATTGTAATAAGTACTAAGTACTAAGTACATTGTAATAAGTACTAAGTACATTGTAATAAGTACTAAGTACTAAGTACTAAGTGCTAAGTACTAAGCACTAAGTACATTGTAATAAACATATATAAAGTTAAATTATTGTTTACGTCCTGTTACTTGACATCAAAAATGTTCATCTCGGGCCGTGAATTTGACAACCCTGGACTACGTAAACATTCGTTTGACTCCGTAATAATTAAAACGAGTTGAAAATGGTAACACAACAATATTATCAAATTGCTTAAATGTTGTCTTGGCATTCGATCTCCTCGTTTTCGTGACAAATGCGAAAAATCAACGACATTATCAACACGACTCGCAAATGAGTGTATCGAAGCGTAAATCGCTCGCCTCATTCGCAGAGACCTAATCGCCGTACCAGCGATGTAATAATCGAAGTCGCGGATTCATTCGAACGATCCTATCGACGCGGCCGTTTCCGCGAAGACGTCGCGCGCTGCTTTTTCGCCGGCCGTGGTTGCGTGCCCCGCAGATTCCAGTTAATTAAACGCGTTTAATATGCGACGATTCCGAGACGCGTTCGTCACGTAATCGGCGCAATTAATCGCGCCGCGGGCGAACGTATGCATTTTTCCCGGATCGAGAGGGTTTCTCAGGGCCGAGACGCGACACTGCAACACGCTCGAAAGAAAAAGAACCGAAAAAAGAAAAGAAAAACAAAGAAAAGGATCCGCAATGGGAAAACGCGGCTACACGGAATCGTCCGGCCGCGGAGCAATCTACACGGCCGTCCGATCGTCGCTCTAATTAGCGGGGAGGTTGGGCACGAGCGAGGAGACTCCCGGCGAAAAGTTGACGCGATTATCGTCCCGCCTCGTGTTAGGATAATTATCCTAACGTTTACGAGGAGCGGCCCCGGCCGGATTGAGACCGCGGCGGGTTTCCGATTCGCCGGGAGAACGCGGACTTTTTCGCCGCGGTCGCATCCGTTACAAGAGCGCTGTTAGAGATCGTTAAGCGTGTCTCAATGATTGCGGCCGGTGGCACTTAATTCGAACCATCGAATAAATGGCGATTCCCTCGTTCGTTCGACCGGTAATCGGTACAATTAATCGCGACGCTGGAAAGCGCGCCGGTCGGGGAGCAAGGCTAACCCCCGTGTTCGATAAACTCCGCTCGGCGGGTCGCGATTTTTCCGATTTGTGACCGGTCGACGTTCGCTCGAACCGATCGGCACGTTGCTCCGCGTGCGCGCGTGTCTAGGAGGTCGTCGCACAAACCAGTCGATTCGTTTCCCTTTTCTTTTTTGTCTGTTTCTCCAGCCGCGGCGTTTTCATCGGGCAGGTCGCTTCGTTTGAGACGGCGGCGAGCCGCGTGGCGTGACAGAGGCGTTTAAGGAAACGCTTTCCCGGCCGGACCGACTGGTTTACATCGTTATCCACGCGAGACATCGAAGCCCGACCGTTCGTTTTTCCGGCTTGAAAATTTCGTCGGGACGACAGGTTGCGAGGAGGAACGGCCGCGGCGCGGCGCGGCCGAGGAGGCGTGCTCCGTGTCGTTCCGCTCGTGGATTCGGCTCGCGCGTTACGTTTCGTTGTACCGAGTTACGAGTCGAACGTGACCGGACTCGGACGTAAGCCGTTCGTCGAATAACGCGATTCAAAGGCGCTTCTAAAACCGCGGCGAGGTCGCCGGGGGAGCGTTTTGTTCGTGGCCTGCTTCTGCTTTCGAAACTCGTGTCGCCGCCGCCGACGACGCTTGCTGGCTGGCCTCGACCTCGCCCGAGCGGTTCCTAACGAAACGCTACACCCTTTTCGGTGGCCGCCCTCCGCCGTGCCTTTCAATATTTTACGAGCCCCGACAGAGGCGAACGATCGGCCGCGCGGACGTACGTGTCCCGCGTTCAGAACGAGCGGAACACGCGAGATGAGGATCACGCGAGAAGAGACCGCGCGAGAACGGACGAGTCCCGGAAGACGTTTCAACGAGGAACAAAGACATTTCCATAATTAGTCGTTACGAGGTTCCTGCGTCAGCTGCGTTTCGCGGACGTTCCTCGAGCCCCGGCGGGAGAAGACGCGGCGTGGGCGTCGGGATCGATTACGCGGAGAGAATTATTGCGACGCGCGCGCGATTCACCTTGGCAAATAGGATAATCGCGGGGCCTCCGCTGGTTTCCTCGTCGGACACGTAAATATCTGGTCGGCCGGAAAGTTAACGCAAGGTTTACAGCGGTTCTTTGAAAGTTCGACTTCGAGGGTGCAAGTTCTCGGGTTGTGTAACGAGGATTGTTATCGATTAGACGCTTTTCTTGGTCGTTGTCGATCTTTTATGACTTAATGGAGCGTGCTGAATTCCGAGGCGAGAAAAAATTGCTTTTGTCGCACGCGTTCTTTGATTAAATCCTTTCCAGATAAGATAAGAATAAATTCTCTTTAATTGACCATTAGATTAATATCCCATTGCGATAACAAACATAAAATAAATGAAGATGAGTGCTTGTATAATTAGATATAGTATAATAGTTATTATTATAGTATATAGTATAGTGTAGTATATATAGTATATAGTATATATATAGTATAGTATATAGTACATATATAGTATAGTATATAGTACATATATAGTATACTATATAGTACATATATAGTATAGTATATAGTACATATATAGTATAGTATATAGTACATATATAGNACATAATATATATACAATAGTATAGTATATAGTATATATATAGTATAGTATATAGTATAGTATATAGTATAGTATATAATATATATATAGTATAGTATATAGTATAGTATATAGTATATAGTATATAGTATATAGTATAATAGATATAGTATATAGTATATAGTATAATAGATATAGTGTAATTAGATATAGTATAATTAGATATAGTATAGACCATTTTCAATTTGTTGAACAAATTCAAAGAATAGGTGCATCTTTATTGAACTTTCGTTTTGTACAACGGATGCGAACAATTTTTATTTTTCATAAAAATTTGCGGTCCATTTATTGTTATTATTATTTAGTATTCTTTATTTCACGAGCTTCGCAACCCCTTTTAACACCGGAACTACCGAACCAGTCGAAATGTGTGTTTCATTTACAGTCCCCCCCCTCCCCCCAGTTTATTATGAAAATATTTCAAGGGGAAATTTTTAGTTAAATTTCTTTATCCACGCAAATGCAGTAAATTCCTTCTAAGTACGATTATTCGAGCCTGTTGCCCCAAATTGTCCATTTTTGTTTCCAAGCTGAGCGTCAATTAGGGAGAATTTACTGTACAGTGCTGGACAAAAGTATTGGCGCTGCGTTATTGTTCCGCTACAAATGCTTATAATTATGAAACAGATGGAACAAAAGGATATTTTTTTGACACATTTATTTATTTACTACTCTAGTTCAGTATTTAACAGAAGCATTATTTAACAGTAACACGATTGAAGGGAGTTATTATGAAGAAAGGAGGACCAACCCCAAGTATTAATTTCTAATTTCCAGATACATATAATATTTT